TAAAGCGGAGAATAAAAAGGAAAGGAGATGTCCGGAAATTGTGTTATCGTAACATCTGTGCTCGCACAAAACATATTCAACGCAAATATCATTTCATCCGAGATGACTTAGTATCAAAGGGAGAGGCAGTAATCAGATATGTTCCTACAGGAGATATGGTTGCAGACATTCTCACTAAACCCCTCACTCACAAAAAACACTGGAAATTCTCTAAAGCTATGGGACTACGGTTGCACTCGAGTGGGAGTGACAAAACTGGATAAACCCGGTCTCTGCCAAAGCAGCCATTGTTCTCCTAGGAGCACAATTGTACTCCTAGGAGTCATTATACTGTAGCGAGTAGCACCTCCGACTATAAGTAGTAGGGGGTTTAGTATAGGAATACCTCAGTCATTTCTATAGCCTCTCGGGCAGCGGCTGAGGTATGTTACATTACATTTATTAGAGATCACCTTAAACTAACATCTATTGTAGTTTCACTTAGGTAAATAATACAGTCATTTCTATAGCCTCTCGGGCAGCGGCTGAGTTTCACTTAGTTTTATTATGGGGAGCTTAAGTCACTTTGTTGACTCATATACAAGCCCTTTTAACCAACACTGTCTCGAGGCAATTTCTCTGTTAATATCAGTGTAGTATTGAAAGGGGAACACAGGCATAACCCTGTAGCATCACTAGGAAGCCTTAGCACCCTCCTGGACCGCTTTTGGACCGCTTTTTTGGACTCTTTTGGACCCTTTGGACCTTCCCGTGGACTTTTTGGACCTTCTCCATTATCCACCTCCACTGCTTTGCCAGCTCATTTCCATACCATGGATAAAACTAAATGTACTCCTCATTCATATTCTGCTCCTACTCATTGTTCTTGCTCATCTCCTAACTACCATCATTGTAATCAATCTGCCATACCTGGTGCAAAATACCATTTTTCTACTGTGGTTGCAGAGTCGGCTAGAAATGCAAGCCTCCACTCTATTCATCCCTCTGACTTACACTGCCCTCTCCAGCTTGATGCCGACATTGATTGGAATGCAGACACAGGTGCCACTTCTCATATGACACCTCATCATCACTGGATTCGCAATTATGCACCATATCGTGTTCCCATAAAGCTAGCAGATCATACTGTTGTTTATTCAGCTGGTATTGGTACTGTGGTGTTTAACCCTATCATCAATGGCAAGGAATCAAGGGCTGTAGAATTCTCCAGAGTGCTGCATGTACCAGATCTTCGAAATAATCTCCTCTCAGTCTTGTACTTAACTCGTCAAAGTGGTTTTAAAGTCATCATATCATCTCAATCTATGTTCTTCATATGTGGCAACACTCTCTTATTCACTGCAACCATCAACAACAATAATGCTGCATTCCTTGATGGATCCACTGTTTCTTGTGTTGAATTGGGACACTTTTCTGCAACATTTCCACTTGACTTAAACCTTTGGCATCGAAGATTGGCTCACCACCACTATGCTGATGTCAAGAAATTGACACAAGGAAACCTTGTTACTGGAATGACACTTGAGTCTAAATCTACTCCTGATCCTATCTGTGAACCATGTCTGTCTGGAAAAATGTCTGCCAACCCATTCCCTTCATCTTCTCATCGCTCTGCTCACCCTCTAGACCTCATCCACTCTGATGTACACCAAGTCTCCTCCCCTTCATTCTCTGGGTATCGATATTGGGTCACCTTCATCGATAATTACACTCAATTTCGTGTTGTTGTCCCTTTGAAGGCCAAGTCAGATGTCTTTAATGCTTTCAAGAGTTTCAAGGCTTATGCTGAGGCTCAATTAGAGCGGAAAATCAAGGCTCTGCGCAATGACAAAGGGGGAGAGTACATCTCCAAGGAGTTTGAGCAATTCACAGATGATCATGGCATTGTCAGACAGCATACCACCCAGAATAGGCCTCAGCAGAATGGAGTTGCAGAAAGAGCAAACAGGCTTCTCTCTGAAAGAATCACTACCATGCTTTCAGAGTCTGGATTGCCTAATATCTTCTGGGGTGAATGCCTAGGTGCCTTGGTGCATGTCTGGAATAGGTGTCCCACTGATGCAGTGGTCAATGCTACTCCTTATCAATTGTGGCATGGACATAAACCAGACATATCACACCTTCGTGTTTGGGGGTGCACTGCTTATGTGCATGTGCAAAAGGATAAGAGAGGTGTCTTTGGCTCTCACATGGAGAAATGTGTGTTCATTGGTTACCCTGCTGGGTACAAGGGTTGGAAATTCTACAATCCTACCACCAAACGCACCATTATCTCTGAGAGAGCTGATTTTGATGAGCACTACTTCCCTGGCTTGAAAAAGACTTCTACCACTGCCATTCCTACTCCACCTTTGCCACCTTCACTTCCCATGCCTTTGGGCCTGGATGAGGATGTCCCTGCACCAGGTCCAGGGGGAGATATTGACCCACCAGCTGTACTTCAGCAACCTCAGCAACCTCAGCACTTGCCTGATGATGGGCCTGATTTGGACCTTGATGCAAAACCACCTGTGAATCAACCTCTTGAGCTTCCAGATCACCCTCCTCATCGCTCACCTTCTCCTGACTTGCCTATTGCACTGAGACGCCCTGCAAGGGCTAGGAGACCACCTGGACCATGGTGGCTTCAACACAGACAACCTACTCCTGCCATTGAGAGTGATAACAGTGATAGTAGTGATTCTGAGGCAGTTGATGATGAAGTGGCACACTTTGGAGACTCTGCTGAGCCTAGGTCATTTGCAGATGCAATGAAGCGTCCTGATGCAGATAAATGGAGAGAAGCAGCCATGGAAGAGCTCCAAGCTCATGAGCACAATGGAACTTGGTCACTTGTGGAACTACCCCCTGGAGAAAAGGCAATTGGTGGCAAGTGGGTCTTTAAGATCAAGCACAACTCTGATGGCTCCATTGAGCGCTACAAGGCCAGATATGTGGCTAAAGGTTACAACCAGCACCCTGGCTTTGACTTCCTTGAAATATTTGCACCCACTGTTCGCATCTCATCTATCAGAGTTATCCTTGCAATTGCTGCCATCCACAACCTCCATTTGCGCTCCATTGACATCTCTCATGCATTTCTTAATGGTGTCATGGATGTAAAGGTCTACATGCAGCAACCAGAGGGATTCCATCAAGGTGGTCGTAATCTGGTCTGCCAACTCAACAAGGCCATTTATGGGACCAAGCAAGGAGGCAGGATGTGAAACCAGAAGATGCACATTGTGCTTGAAAAACTCGGATTTAATCACACTTACTCTGACTCTGCCATCTATGTGTTTAATAGAGGTGAAGTGCACATTATTCTACCTGTCTTTGTTGACGACATGACACGCATCCACATCCAATTCTGCACTTGACCAAGCTGTCAAGGACCTCTCTCAGCACTTCAAACTTCGTGATCTTGACCCTACTTCCTACCTACTTGGCATTTCCATCACCAGAGACCTCAGCAATTGCACCATCTCCCTCTCCCAACATCAGTACACTCTGGACATTCTGGAGCGTTTTGGCATGAAGGACTGCAAGCCTGTGTCCACTCCAATGGACCCTGGTTTACGCCTCACCAAGGAAATGTCTCCCAAGACACCAGAAGAAGTGCAACTGATGAAGGACATTCCCTATCTTGCTGCTGTTGGTGCTCTGATGTATTTGGCCACCACCACTCGTCCTGACATTACCTATACTGTTGGAGTTCTTGCCAGATTCAATTCCAATCCTGGGCCCACTCACTGGGGTGCTGTCAAGCACTTATTCCGCTACTTGCAAGGCACCCTCAATCACTCACTTGTCCTTGGCCCTGATCCTAATTCCACTGAACTCTTCACCACTTTCTCTGATGCTGATCATGGTGGTGACAAGGACTCTGGATGTTCTACTGGTGCTTACCTTGTCAAGATTGGATCTGGTGCTGTCTCTTGGAGTTCCAAACTTCAAAGCATTGTTGCTCTTTCCACCACTGAGGCAGAATATATTGCTGCTGTTGAAGCTGGCAAGGAGATCTGCTGGATGCGAAATCTGCTGAAGGAAATGGGCTATCCTATCACCTCTCCTTCCACCCTTCACATTGACAACCAATCTGCCATCTCTGTGTCTAAGAATCCTGAACACCATGGTCGAATGAAGCACCTTGATTTATGCTGGCATTGGTTGAAAGATATTGTTGGCTCTGGCCAAATTGCTCCCACCTTTGTGCCCACTGCTGAAACGCCTGCTGATTTGTTGACCAAGGCTCTGGCTAAGCCTAAAGTTGAAATGTTCAGACAGATGATGGGACTTGTTAGATCAGGGGGGAGCTAATGCTTGGGAGGTGTGTTACGATCTCTATTGGACATTTAAGGACTACTCATTTCTTTTTACTCATCGGTTATACCATCGGACCGATGACTCATTTCCTTCACGTACACTTCCGTTCCTCTCGCATTCACAGTACCTATTATAGTACTTAGTCCTCAACAGACGGACCTGCCCTAGATAGGACCTAACTCCTATCACCGATTCCTTTCCATTATAAATACCATGTAACAGCAGTAGTATTCTCTAATACGATTCTACGCAGTTTACGCTTACAAAGCTAGACTCCTAAGATCAGACTTCTATTCAGAAGAAGACCAACTCCCGTTGGAAAACCTCCACTCAGAACTACGTTCTCGAACTTGTCTTCGGATAAGTCTCTTTACAAACCTCGACGAACCCTCAGACTTTGTTAAGCACTTCGTGCGTAACAAGGTGCAGCATCAGGGGGGAGTATTAGTTTTGGTGATTCTGCACCTAGTTGTGCTATCTATTTTCCCTTCTTTCTAAATCACTTTCCTCTTTATTTTTTTTGCTGTATTGTTCAGTATTCACTGAGCATTCTATAATTTCGCCTTTGTGGCTGATTTGTTTACCTTTGTTTACAAAACTTCGGACTAGTATTGCAGAGTCCAGTATTCCTATTCTTTAGTTACTCATACTGGACTCTAGGTACTGTACACATTCTGTACTCTCTGATAATATAGTTACTTATACTGGACTCTAGTTCTGTCCCTGTTAGCTCTCAGCAAGTGGCTAGACACTTCCCAGAAGTTCTCAATTGAACAAAAGCAATACCTCGTCTGCTGGCTTGGCTTCCTGCCCAAACACAATGAGTGGATGAGGCGTGCGGACATTGATGATTGTCAAGCCCTCAACAACTGGATTGAAGAACAAAATGTCAAAGAGATGGAGGGGGTGGGTATAAGCTGATTGGCTCACACATCTGACATCATGCCACATCATTACCACAGCTACATCCCGGAATTCTGTTGTCCCCACATAACCCAGTTGTTTGCCGTTACGTAAAGTAGACCAGTCCTTCCCTCTTTTCCACCGCAGCCCGGTTCCAATTCTGTGTTCTCCTTCTCAATCAGTGTTGTCCACCTTACAGTGGTCTTCCGTTATTGTGGCTGAAAAATTATTGTGGCTGAAAAAAAGAAACATTGATTTTCCCGTATGAGCACTAAACAATTTTGATTTTTTGATTAAGCTTACTATACAGACAACCCTACAGAGAGGCTGTTTTTGAGAGCGACAAAACCCTCCTTCCACTAACATTAGAGTCGAGGATAAGACTCGGAGCATAGGCGTGAGAATACCGGGCCGGTTTGAAGCGGAGTGCGAAATGTAGGATGTCGGTGGAAAAGGTCCCAATTTAGTCAGCGAACAAGTTTACCCTTCGCCGTCAACAACGACGATGAGCGCTACGTACATTACTCCTCCACCAGGCATGCCCCCTCCGCCTCCTGGTTTGCCACCACCGTCAGGGTTCAGTGGACCATCAGGCTCACGCATTCCACCTGAAGTACTTTCACAAAAATCACAAAAATGGGTTCAAATGCAGAAAAAGAGATACGGCGAAAAACGCAAAGGAGGGTTCGTCGACATGGGAAAACAAGTGCGCATTTTTTTTTCGTTTTATCGGGTTGTATTGCATTCTCATTCTGCATAGGATTTACCTCCCGAGCATGTGCGAAAAATCATAAAGGACCATGGTGATATGAGTAATCGCAAGTTTCGCAATGACAAGCGCGTTCATCTTGGCGCGCTCAAATACGTTCCTCATGCGGTTATGAAACTATTGGAAAACATTCCTTATCCATGGGAGCAGGTTCGCGAAGTCCCTGTGTTATATCACATTACTGGTGCCATCACCTTCGTAAACGAAATCCCTCGTGTCATTGAACCGGTTTATCATGCTCAATGGAGCACCATGTGGCTTGCAATGCGACGTGAAAAGCGAGATCGTAGGCACTTCAAGCGTATGCGGTTCCCTCCCTTTGACGACGAGGAGCCGCCTTTGGATTATGGTGACAATGTCTTGGATGTCGATCCTCTTGAAGCCATTCAGTTGGAACTTGACGAAGAAGAGGATGCTCCAATACTTGACTGGTTCTATGACCCTAAGCCTCTCATCGACACCCCATCTGTAAACGGTTCATCTTATAGATATTGGTCACTTTCTCTCCCTGTCATGGCCAATCTGTACAGACTGGGACGAACGCTTCTCTCAGATCAGCCTGACAACAATGCCAGCTATCTTTTCGATAAAAAGTCATTCTTCACCGCGAAGGCGTTGAATATGGCCATCCCTGGTGGACCAAAATTCGAGCCTCTGTACCGCGACATGGATGCGTTTGACGAAGATTGGAATGAATTCAACGACATAAACAAAGTCATTATTCGGCAACAAATTCGCACCGAGTACAAAGTCGCTTTCCCTCATCTGTACAACTCACTACCCCGGTCCGTTCATCTATCACCTTATCATGTAGCCAAAAACGTGTACATCCGTACGGATGACCCCGACCTTCCAGCATTTTACTTCGACCCTCTCATCAATCCTATCTCGCTGCGAGGATTTACACCAAAGAACGCACCTTTAGTTTCTCACGAAGATGTCATTTTTGGTCCCAACGGGGCTGAAGACGATGATTTTGAGCTTCCTGAAGACGTGAAGCCATTCCTCGAAGAAAAACCTTTGGAGAATGACTTAACTGCCGACGGTATTGCTCTGTGGTGGGCTCCAGAACCGTACAACCGTCGTTCAGGTCGGATGAGACGTGCGCAGGACATTCCATTGGTTAAGGGTTGGTATCTTGAACATTGTCCACCGAATCAACCGGTAAAAGTTCGCGTGTCGTATCAGAAGCTTCTCAAATGTTACGTTTTAAATGAGCTCAAATCAAGGCCGGATAAAGCTATGACGAAGAAGAACCTTTTCCGCCAGTTGAAAGCTACAAAATTCTTTCAGACTACCAAGTTGGACTGGGTTGAAGCAGGCTTGCAAGTTTGTAGGCAAGGTTACAATATGTTGAACTTATTAATCCACCGCAAGGTAGGTACCATGAGGTTTATCTTCTGGTACTAATCTGACAAAGGCTTGATCGTAGAACTTGAACTACTTACATCTGGATTATAACATGAATCTCAAGCCTGTCAAGTATGCCAACAGTTCAGCTGTCTAGTATTTGCACTGACGTCCATTTCAAGGACATTGACCACCAAGGAGCGGAAGAAGTCTCGCTTTGGAAATGCTTTCCATCTTTGTCGCGAAATCTTGCGCCTTACAAAGCTTGTTGTGGATGCTCATGTTCAATTCCGTTTGGGCAATGTCGATGCCTTCCAGCTGGCCGATGCTTTGCAGTATATCTTCGGGCATATAGGTGCTTTAACAGGCATGTATCGTTATAAGTACAAGGTCTGTCTTCAGTTCCATACAATAAAGTGGTGATTAGTATCATATATTAATGACATTCGATCATTCAGCTCATGAGGCAAGTTCGGATGACAAAGGACTTGAAGCATTTGATTTACTATCGCTTCAATACTGGCCCCGTCGGCAAAGGCCCTGGTTGCGGTTTCTGGGCACCAGGTTGGCGTGTTTGGTTGTTCTTCATGCGAGGAATTGTACCTCTTCTAGAGCGATGGTGAGTTCGTTTCTATAACCTTGTTGGGACAAGTGCTTAAGATATACATCAGGCTTGGCAATTTACTTGCCCGTCAGTTCGAAGGACGTAATAGTAAAGGCATTGCCAAGACCGTGACCAAGCAGCGTGTAGAATCTCATTACGATCTGGAGCTACGTGCTGCAGTGATGCATGACATATTGGACATGATGCCGGAATCCATCAAGCAGAATAAGTCGAAAACAATTCTGCAGCATTTGTCGGAAGCTTGGAGGTGTTGGAAAGCGAACATCCCTTGGAAGGTACCTGGTATGCCTACTGCCATTGAAAATATCATTTTGCGGTACATCAAAAGCAAGGCTGATTGGTGGTGCTCGTACGTCCGCATATACCTCTTTGCCACTAACAATCTAATCGATGTGGTTCAGTGTTGCTCATTACAACCGTGAACGTATAAGGCGTGGTGCGACAGTTGACAAGGCTGTTGTTAAGAAGAACCTTGGTCGACTGACTCGTGAGTTCATATGGTTTTTCGTTTTTGGCCTTTTATTTATTGTTGTTCACTTCAAAAAGGTTTGTATCTGAAGGCAGAACAGGAGCGACAGCACGGTTATCTCAAAGATGGGCCATACATCAGTGCGGAAGAGGCCGTGGCTATATACACAGCTACTGTGCACTGGCTGGAAAGTCGCAAATTTGCTCCCATCCCATTCCCGTTAGTATCTTTTTCATGATCACTAGGTAATGTTTGCTAATAGTTTCCCCAGTCCCTTGTCTTATAAACATGACACGAAATTATTGGTATTGGCATTGGAGAAACTTAAAGAAGCTTATTCTGTTAAAGGTTAGTATGGAATCGCGTTTTGCTCTATCATACCTCATAACTTTTGTTCAGGTCGCCTTAACCAGTCACAGCGTGAGGAATTGGCCCTCATCGAGCAGGCTTATGACAATCCTCACGAGTGTATGTTTCTTGCGTGCAACTTTAAGTGTACCGCTATCTAAACTTCGTATCAGGTCTTTCACGCATCAAGCGATTGCTGCTTACTCAACGTGCTTTCAAGGAATCGGGGATCGAGTTCTTTGATACCTACGACAAGCTCATCCCATGTTACGACATCGAACCTGTTGAGAAGATCACTGATGCTGTAAGTTGTGACTATTTAACGAGTGAATATAGTGTAAGCTAATGTATCATCTCAGTATTTGGATCAATTCTTGTTCTTTGAGTAAGCGCCACTTTTTTTCCATCCTCCCAAAATGCCGATCATATATTAGGGCTGATAAGAGAGGACTGTTCCCTGCTTGGATTAAACCAGCCGTATGTTCCAGTCTCAATCTTCGGGTGTCGAGTGTCTTAAATGTTTCTTGCAGGATACTGAACCTCCTCCACTTTTGGTGTATAAGGTAGGCTGTTCCAGCTTTACATAATATGGCCGTACTGACAGACCGTCTATAGTGGTGTCAAGGTATCAATAACTTGACTGATATTTGGGAAACGAATGAAGGCGCATGCAATGTGATGATGGAGACGGTGCTGTCTAAGGTTTACGAAAAGATTGATTTGACACTATTGAATCGTTTACTTCGTCTTATTCTCGACCATAACTTGGCGGATTATATCACTGCTAAAAACAACACTGGTGCGTTTTCTCAATATACAATATTACTTTTGTTGACGGGCTTTTCCCTCTAGTTTTGACATACAAAGGTCAGGAACAGTCTGACACTTGCGCATAAAGGCACTAACCTGGTTGATAATAGATATGGCTCATACAAACGCTTTTGGTCTCATTCGTGGTCTGCAGTTCTCAGCATTCGTCTTCCAGTATTACGGTCTCGTCCTTGATCTGCTTATCTTGGGCCTGCAACGAGCCAGCGAAATGGCAGGACCCCCACAGATGCCGAACAATTTCCTGCAGTATCGTGACTCAGCTACGGAGACCCGTCACCCCATTCGTCTATACTCTCGCTACGTCGACAGGCTTCATATCCTGTTCCGTTTCACTGCAGATGAAGCTCGTGACCTCATTCAGAGGTATCTCAGTGCCAACCCTGATCCAACCAACAACAACGTGATCGGATACAATAACAAGCGCTGCTGGCCTCGAGACTGTCGCATGAGGCTTATCAAACATGATGTCAATCTTGGCCGAGCTGTCTTTTGGAATGTTAAGCAAAGTTTACCGAGGTCTTTGACAACCATCGAGTGGGAAGATACTTTTGTCAGCGTGTACTCGCAAAACAACCCCCAATTACTTTTCTCGATGTGCGGCTTCGAGGTCCGCATTCTTCCAAAGATCAGGACTATGGGGGGAGAGCAGTTCTCTTTGAAGGACGCTGTATGGAACTTGACTAACGAACAGTCAAAGGAGCGCACAGCTCAAGCATTTTTACGTGTTTCTGATGATGGTAAGTCGCGTCTTGTTCAGTTGACAGTCACGTTGCTCATCCTATCTTAGGTGTCCAGCAATTCAATAATCGTATTAGGCAGGTATTAATGAGTTCCGGTTCTACGACATTCTCGAAGATCGTGAACAAATGGAATACGGCTCTTATCGGTCTTATGACGTATTATCGGGAGGCAGTAATCCATACCAACGAATTATTGGATTCACTGGTGAAAGCCGAGAACAAGATTCAGACGCGTGTCAAGATAGGTTTGAACAGTAAGATGCCGTCGCGTTTCCCTCCAGTCGTGTTTTACACGCCTAAGGTTCGGTTTGACTTTATTGTGCCCTATTGTCATCTAATCTTGTCACATTTCAGGAACTCGGCGGTTTGGGAATGCTTTCTATGGGGCATGTTTTGATTCCTCAAAGTGACTTACGGTGGTCGAAACAAACAGATGTCGGAGGTCAGTGCTACTTATCTGAATGGCGTGGGCAACTTGTGACACTTTTACTCCTAGTAACCCATTTCCGAGCCGGAATGACGCATGAAGAAGACCAATTAATCCCCAATCTATACCGTTATCTTCAGCCATGGGAAGCTGAATTTTTGGATTCGGCTCGTGTCTGGTCAGAATATTCCATGAAGAGGAAAGAAGCGAATGCTCAAAATCGACGGCTCACACTCGAGGATCTTGAAGATAGCTGGGATCGCGGTATTCCACGTATCAACACGCTCTTCCAAAAAGACCGTCATACGTACGTCCCACTTCAGTATTATGTTCCTTCTGTGGCTTATGATTATTAGTCTGGCGTACGACCGTGGTTGGCGTGTAAGGACAGATTGGAAGCAGTATCAATTGCTTAAACAGTAAGTCATAAGTCATTTGTTTACTGCGAGTATCTGACCTTTTTGCAGTAATCCATTCTGGTGGACCTCGCAACGTCATGATGGTAAACTATGGCAGCTCAACAACTACCGAGTAGATGTCATTGCAGCATTGGGTGGTGTTGAGGGGATTCTGGAACACACTCTCTTCAAGGGCACTTACTTCCCAACTTGGGAGGGTCTCTTCTGGGAGAAAGCTTCTGGTTTCGAAGAATCTATGCGATACAAAAAGCTTACCAATGCTCAGCGGTCTGGTCTTAATCAAATTCCTAATCGTCGTTTCACCCTCTGGTGGAGTCCAACTATCAACCGAGCCAACGTTTACGTCGGTTTCCAAGTGCAGCTTGATTTGACTGGTATTTTTATGTATGTCTATCTTCTAGGATGTAAGTTTCTCCACTAAGTCTCCCTCGTCTAGGCATGGTAAAATTCCCACTTTGAAAATCAGTTTGATTCAGATCTTCCGTGCGCATTTGTGGCAGAAGAGTAAGCACAATTCAAAACAAATTTTCGTCGTACATAATTCCAATTGACTTTGACAGTTCACGAGAGTGTGGTCATGGATTTGGTACGTTGTTGACTTCTTCGTAGATTTGCTTTAAGTTAAATATCACAATCCAGTGTCAAGTATTTGACCAAGAACTGGAGCCACTACAAATCGAGACAGTTCAGAAGGAGACCATTCACCCTCGTAAGAGTTACAAGATGAATTCTTCTTGTGCAGACATTCTGCTCTTTTCTGCCTACAAGGTAAGGCTTCTTCCGTTGCAATTCTTAGAGTCCCCTGCTAACTGCCTGTAGTGGAACATATCGCGTCCTTCGTTGGTAACTGACGTGAGTAGTTTGCTCGTTTCTGCTTGGACCCCACTAAAACTAGGTTTCAGACTAAGGACGTCCTTGATGGCACGACAAGCAACAAGTACTGGATTGATGTTCAATTGCGGTGGGGTGACTTCGATACTCATGATATTGAGCGGTATACGCGGGCAAAATTCTTGGACTATGTATGTTTTTACATTTACCATCATAGCGAATCTAAAATTTGCTATTCAGGTCTCCGATTCCATGAGCATTTACCCATCTCCTACAGGAGTCATGATTGGAATGGATTTGGCTTACAACCTGTGGTCCGCCTACGGCAACTGGTTCCCTGGGATGAAACCCCTTATCCAACAGGCTATGGCTAAGATCATGAAAGCCAATCCCGCTTGTCACGTATTACGTGAGCGTATTCGGAAAGGTCTTCAGCTTTACTCCTCGGAGCCCACAGAACCGTATCTGAACAGCCAAAACTACTCAGAGTTATTCTCTAACCAAATTATCTGTAAGTTTCCTGTCGTTGGTAACCTCCTACAAGTTAAATACGTTACGCAGGGTTCGTGGACGACACCAATGTGTACCGTGTGACGATTCACAAAACTTTCGAGGGTAATCTGACGACCAAGCCCATCAGTACGTTTTTTATTCTTTTTTATACTTCTTCCGATCGTGTTGTTGAATTTTGACCTTCAGATGGTGCCATCTTCATTTTCAACCCTCGCTCTGGTCAACTGTTCTTGAAAGTCATTCATACCAGTGTTTGGGCTGGACAGAAGCGTCTTGGGCAGCTTGCGAAGTGGAAGACCGCCGAAGAAGTCGCCGCTCTCGTTCGCTCATTACCTGTTGAAGAACAGCCCAAACAAGTCATAGTTACCAGAAAGGGCATGTTGGGTACGCACAGCATTCCCCTGTTTATTCACCACATTACTAACATACATATCAGACCCTCTTGAGGTGCACTTGTTAGATTTCCCCAACATCGTCATCAAGGGTAGCGAACTCCAACTGCCTTTCCAAGCTTGTATGAAGATGGAGAAATTTGGAGACTTGATTCTTGTAAGGTCATTAGTTTCTCGAGAATCAATTTTTATTAACTGTATTTTTACAGCGCGCTACGCAACCGCAGATGGTGTTGTTTAGTCTTTACGGTGCGCTGAGTTGCTACTTCCGTGACGTTTGGAGTACTAATGGAACGTTGTAGACGACTGGCTAAAATCCATATCCAGCTATACTGCCTTCTCTCGTCTGATTCTCCTGCTTCGAGGCCTACACGTAAACAACGAAAAAGCGAAGATCATATTACATCCTGATAAATCTACCATCACGGAGCCGCATTTTGTCTGGCCTTCATTAGGTGATGAAGAGTGGATTAAGGTCGAAGTCGCTATGAAAGATCTGATTTTGGCTGTTCGTACTTTTCTTGATCCAACTAGCTTTCTCACTAATATATGAATTCAGGATTTCGGTAAACGGAACAGCGTCAATATCGCGTCCTTAACGTCCAGTGAAATACGAGACATCATCCTGGGACAAGAAATTGCAGCCCCCTCAGTGCAGCGGCAGCAAATGGCGGAACTCGAGAAGAGTACCGAGGCACAAAGTCAAGTTACCGCAATTCAGACGTAAGCTTAATTGTTGCATTCATCGTAGTAAATTATTGACGGGGACGCTTCTCTAGACAAACAACAGGTGTTCACGGTGACACCATTCAAACTGTGACAAGTAAGCTTCTCATATTTCATCATAACAGTTCAATACTAACTAATCGCTTCTAGCCACCAACTATGAACAGCAGGTATTCAGTAGCAAGTCTGACTGGCGTGTGCGAGCAATCTCGGCTACACATCTTCCCCTTCGCCTTCAGCATATCTATGTCTCGAATGACGATGTCAAAGACGATGCTGCCTCATTCACATACGTTCTTCCAAAGAATATACTACGAGCATTCATCAGCGCTGCTGACCTACGTACTCAAGTTGCAGCTTTCTTATATGGTGTCTCACCACCTGACAATAAGCAAGTAAAAGAAATCAAGGTATGTGAACTCATTGCCCACATTGCAGTGTGCTAATTTTATCTATTTTCGATGTTTAGGCTGTGGCTTGGGCGCCTCAAAGAGGCAGTAACAATAGTGTTGAACTGCCATCTCAACTACCAAAGGACGATTTCCTTCTGAAAGATCTTGAGCCTCTTGGATGGATTAAGACGCAAGCCCTTGAACTGCCACATTTGTCACCAACGGATGTCACCACTCAAGCAAAGTTGATGGCCGATCATCCAGAATGGGGCTCGTCATCGATTTGTATCACGGCATCTTTCACTCCTGGATCTGTTTCTCTCTCTGCGCATTCGATTACGGTTCCTGGATTCGAGTGGGGAAGGAAGAATGTGGACAATTCAGCAAATCCTCCTGTAGTTATTCCCACACACAATTATTTTCTTAGATCCATCTAACCATTATTTTATCCAGGGTTTTAATCCTAACATGTCGGAACGTGTACAGTTGCTCCTCTCTGACCGAGTTTTGGGCATGACACTAGTCCCAGAGGGCAGGATTTGGAATTACGGCATCGGTCTTACACAACTATGGGCTCCTTCTTTGAGCTACTCGATGACACTGGATACACCTCTTCTTTTCTGGGCTGAGGAACACCGACCTGCGGCTTTCTTGACTGTGAGTGTTCACAGTGCAAATACGATGGTGATTACTGACATTGCTATTACCAGTTCGCTAACATGGAGGGCGATGACAGTGCTGATGTTGAAAATAGCTTTGCATAATGTATCCTTTCCTACCTTTTCTCCTCATCAGACTTGTATCTTATATGTAGAATTAGTTATTACCTTTCAATGACGTGTGCAATGAACGTTTAAAAGCAACACAGATTTGGTGTAATCAGAGTTCTATGTAGCCAAAATCAGACGCCCAGATAAATGTACAAGTCAGACACCTCGTCAAGGTCTACTGTAACGGCGCCCCAGTGCAGTCTTGCGAATGAACCTTATGAAGTGTACCACGACTGCGTTCATTAGATCAAGAGATCATAATCTTGCAGGTCTGATAGTTGTGTGGGTTGCTGAAAACGTCTGAGAGAGAATAGTTCTCTTGTTCAACCTAGGGAGGGAGAATAATGCAATCTTCCAGGACAAAACATGCATTAATGGGGTAGTGGTAACCTGGGTCGTTGCCATCGACCCGCCGGGGGTTCGATTCCCTCTTAATGCAATGGTTTACTTTTTTTGGTCGACTTTCCAACTCTTTAGTTCTGCAGAACGGCTTTCACGGGCAATTACATTCCTGGTAGTGCACTGAATCAATCCCTTTGCTTGATCGTTCAGGAAGGCCCTCACCCACCCTATCACATGATGTTGCGAACAATCCTGAATACTGTCCATCTATAGCACAAACTTTTGCATAGTAACTTGAACTAAATGTTATCAGGACCATCGCTTGTATGAATCAGATTGACATCGCGACGATAGACTTACGACCTCTATGGATGGTCACTAAACGCGGTTAAACAGTAAACTCGATGGTCCCTACTCAATGCGGCTGGATTCGCGACTGAATGAATTACCATGAAACGCTCTGGATGTGCCTGACAATGTTGTACTCCACATTGATCTTGTCAGAATGACCCGACTCGCAACAGCCGACCTCGGTGGGACACGGTCCAGGATTGTCGTTTACTTGCTATACCCATGTTGATCTTCGAATTTGCCTGTAAGTATTCTTCACGTATCAAACACTTGACAGGATTCATTCATTTACTACTGATTTCACCCGCTGGCTGCGTTTCAGACACAATATTCTATTATGTATTCCGACTGCTGTGGAACGTTGAAGGAACCGACCCATGATCATTTCTCTCTTCTCTTCCTGTACTGTTAAAACACACTGACTTCGGTGTTTCATATTGTGACGTAGAGCTAAAATCAAAGACCTGACGAGCGCTGCCGCTGACCCCGAGGTTCGTACAGGTACTTGTTCACTTTCCCCATCAATACAAACCCTGCCCATTTTGAGGGGGGGGCACTATAACTTACATCCTTCCTTTTTCCTCAGGCTGCGAAGTCACCGATCGTCTACGACCTGCTCGTGATCGTTCCTTCACGTGTATCGAGTCATGCGGAAAGACACAGACGATTTTGCTCTTTCGAATGAACTTCTTCGGACTTGAGTCGTCCCCATGCGGACGGTCGAAAGCATACCATGATTTTGTTGACAGGATCAGTCTTTCCTCTAAGGCCTGGCAGTCCTATCTGTGATACGTCCTGATGGATTGTGGTATATAACCGAAGAGCTTTAAGATTCTTAATGACCGCTGTATAAATGGCCTTCAATAGCCATGTAAGTGCCGAGGGACCTAAACGTGTATTGTGTGGAGCGTTGAACAGACTGAATGGTCAATACGTATCTCGAGCAGAAAGGACGTACGAGTTTTGCAAAGATCGTTATCAGAAAGCTGGGAATTCAGCAACGTCATTTCTTGATAAATAGTAACCTACTTGTTTAGCAAACAAACCTATACTATCATACTGTTGATAGGGATCTGATATCGTCAAGAAGGAACCACTGAGCGTGGTGAACAAAAGTGAAGAGAAAAAAATAGAACATATAGCCCACCGCGAGGGTCGAACTCGCAGCCTTCAGATGACACAGGAGTCAAACCCGCCGTAAAAGTCTGACGCTCTATCCGATTGAGCTAGGCGGGCATTGAAAAGACTTCTTCATTCCTATATCTGATTCGCTCTCCCGGCACCCGGTCAACAAGCTCATCATGGGCATGACTCCAGCACTTAAGTTTTGGCACCTCAGAGTATGTTCCCATAAAACGTGTGAACCTTTGCGTGCCTGCATATCGAATATGACCACCGTGCTACTGCAGTATAACACCCGCAGCTTTCATCATGATGCCGATCCTCAAGTCCGCTCCGTGTCTAAGACGCGAGCCATTCTTAGGGAGGATCCATCTAGAGAGCTAGATGGTCGTCGACCACAGGTCTTGTCACATTTCTCATGTTCCCAGAGCTGCCCGTGATCTCGGTGCCACTCCCACCCTGCTCGGCTGCAGTTTAAACATCTCCGTCATCACGAGTTAGACTGGCGACTATCATGATATTTGCGTACTATACGGGAGCATCCGCCAATTCATTGCTTGATGCACGACTTTGGTACTGCGCCGTGCAGCTTGTGAAGGTTCGCATGGTGTTGTAAACGCTTGACGATCATTGGAACGCATGCGTGTCCAATATTCTACGCACTGGGAGTACATTCATCGAGGACGCTTCGTCAATATCCCTTTGGGTCGAATATTCTACGGAATGGGAGTGCATTCATCGAGGGCGCCGTTCGACGATATCCCTTTCGGTCTAATATTCCACGGACTGGGAATACGTTCATCGATGGCGCTTCATCGATATCCCTTTTGGCCACACGGGCTTTCAACTGGAAGCTGTGTTGGTTTTTGACTGGAAGAAAGTTCGTGTGTGTACTCTTATCCTCTGTGATTGGTATGCATTACATTCTCGACGTGGTCTAATTAGGACATTGACCACTCACTATGGGTTTCGTTGCAGTTGAGATATGGGCACACAACAACTGGAAACCGGGGCACCAGAACAATGTGCCTTGTGCGTGGTAGGTCTGATAAACGAGCGTCAATATAAGCGGCTGCACCGACAAACACTTAAATAGGCTTGGTGGGATCCATAGTAATGTCCTTATTTAGTGCTATCATGACAATGATTTGGAAAGTGTTCCAGTTTCCTCGGAACAGTTAAGAAAAACGTGTACACCAGAGGAATATAGCATTTGGCTGAATGTCATGGTGATATTGCAGTTGTCAGCATTCAAAATGTTAGATGTCTTCTCATAGCACAAAGCACAAAGCCTCGATCTGATAGCGCTGCACCGATTCGAGCTTGTGATTACGAGAGGCGGCTATATATATTCATTAACAAAATTCGGTCGTCATGTTATTAACGTTCTGAAGAAAAACATTCAGACTTAGAAGTTGCACAGCGCTTCAAGTGTCGGTAGTCTACTCACTTCAGGGCCGAAAGAGCACTAAGGTTCTCATTCATGTCTATCCTGCCGGGTAAATCTTCGCCGAGCGGTGGGTATGACGCTTGACAGCGACTGGGAAATGAAGGATAACGTGGCCGCCATTCGTGAGATAAGAGATTTGATCATAGCTGGTCCTTGGAGCCAAGTCCTGATATGTTGCGATATATACTTGACACTAGGAGGATCCCGGCCAGATGATACCAAGATATGCAGCTTTACAGGGCACCCAGCTGTGCACATTCATCAATCGTTACGACCATCAACATCCTGGTAAAATTACTCCTGATCAACACTTAGATCCTGTTATAGTTCGGCTAGATTTTTACCCATGACATCCATTCATTAATAGCGGTAGTGGCCTCGGGCTGCATGCTCCCTGCAGGATAACCACCCACACTATTCCGTCGGTTTACAATGGCATCGTACAATTCTGCCTTGCAAAATTCGTTCTACATTGGCAATAGCTTCAACTGTATCTTGTATGGTGAGTTATGGGGTTGCATCTACGACGCTGTACTGAATTTTGATCGATTGGTATGAAGGCATCGAACTTGTCCTTTATTTCGTGACCATGCACAACTTCCTGACGGCCAAGAAACGGGAACATCGCAGGAAGTCCGATAGATTTTTCATGTGCTTCAGTACCGCGCTCCTACTCCTGATTACCATATATGTGGCGACGCAGTCCGTCTTTGGTGAGGAGATGTGGATCGTTAACGCCAACTATCCAGGGGGAGATGCGTATTATGCATATGAAAATCTATCTGTTTGGTACGAGACCTTGGGAACAGCGGCTTTTGTGGCACTCAATTTATTAGGCGACGGACTGTTGGTAAGCTAACGTGCTTAACACCTGATGATTATTATGATCGACGGCCTACCTCAACAGATCGCCCGATGTTGGATTATATGGGGTAATTACTACATCATCATATTCCCTTGCTTCCTATGGATTGCTACGCTGGGTGAGCATTTCGTTGCCTATCGAATTATAGCACCTACATGGAAGTAACATTGATGTCGCCAATGTGAATGTGGTAGGCCTGGGCATATATATCCTACAAACAGCGGGTTCTTTCAATGGCAGCTCTATCACTTCGCTGAGGGTTGGCATTGCATATTGTGCTGTCAGCATTGGCCTCAATGTATTCGTGTCTTGTATCATCATCGCGCGCATGCTCTATTATGCCCGAAGAGCGCAAAGATGTCTTGGATCCCACATATCACGAGTTTACTTTAGCATTGCCGCCATTATCGTCGAATCGGCACTACCGTATAGCCTGTTCGGTATAGCGTTCCTCGTCACTTGCGGACTCGAGAGTGGGCTGGAGATCCTGTTTATGTCAATTTATGTCATGCTTACCGTGCGTAGTGCACACTCCGTATTATTTCCACTGTCTGATTACCGCGTCTATACAGTGTATAGCACCACAAATGATTGTCTGGCGCGTCATTTCTGGAAGAGCGTGGACGAAAGATGAGGCGGAGGAAAGTACGATAATGTTTTCAAGTCGGCCCAGTAGACCGACGATCCCCGATGTCAGTCAGAGCGACGCTGTCATCGACTTGCGCAATATGAAGGGAGAGCTTTCTCTTGCTGCCAGCGCTGACGAGGTTTGATTGGGACGTTGACTGACATTGTACAACATGTAAACCTGTGAAAGGTGGGATATATATTAGTAGAATAGGTATTGATATTTTGTGACACTTACTACTATTGCATAAATGCATGTGTATAGCAACCGTTAATGTACTTCTCGCCTTACTCTCCAGCAAGTTCTCCATTTTCAATGAGTACGCTATGAATATGCAGTGATGGGAGCCGTAGCCAGAGTGCTGTCGGGTTTTTGCGAACAAGCAAAACAGAGGTCAGCTCCGTTGTCGCGCCTTTCTTACCACTTCTGTCATGCCCTCGACGACACCGCTGAATCGTGTCTACGCTACAAAGGACCAGCTCAAAGTCCTCACTACTGCTTGTGCTCAAAAGGATATTTACTCTGTCGTTGTATTCACCCCACAGGAGCTCGACGATCTCGTAGCAGAGACTGGCCTGTACGTGTCCATACATTATTTCCCTATCTTGCTGTGCATTCAGTTTATTAATTGATTCATACTGACCTGCATATATGCGTGTATATTATTACTTTGCTGATTCTGATTTTATCATGCACCGATCAGCTCTAAGAAGTGGATCCTTTCCTGGCTTTGCAGGGTACGCAGAAAACGTGGATCATGCGCACACAAGCATCCCGCAACGAAGCACGATAGTATAGCTACTATGAAAGTCGAGATGTTTGAGCCAGTTCTAACTCCAGCCGCCAGTTCGCAGGCGCTCTCTGCACCCATATTGGAATGTCGGGGCGGTATCAAGATGCAGAATGCGCGTTTCGTGGAAAGTCCTCAGGTCTACACAGGTAATACAAAATTGGAAGATTCTGCCACTACTTTGCATCCGTTCGCTCCCGTTTTCTTACCCCCTCTATCGCCTGTCGAGGTATTCGGTGGGCTTCCCAGTCCCAACGTAAATATGAAGTTCTCTCGACAGTCTCCTCCTTTGCTCCTTTCACCATTAGCAACGTCAACTCCACGATCAGCGATGGAAGAAGAGGTCCACCTGCCTTTCCCTGCGAGTGAAAGCGCATATACCCCTGATGCGCACCAAAACTTGCTGCCCACAACAAGCGCAAGAACTCCTTCTCTCTTATCCGCGCATAAAGATTCTGACGACCTTGATACATTCCACGACTTCCTTCCCTTCCCAGCTGGCTCAAGTCCTCCGCAGAAAGTTTCGAAGTTCTCGACTGGAATTAGAGGTCGCTCTTCTTTGTCACCTCTCCCATTCACCGGATTGGATGCTCTTCCCGGCGTGTCGGGGAATAGCTTAGGTTCACTTCCCAACTGTGATGTTGTTTGGCTCTTATCGGGTCCTAGAGGTCCCAAAAATGTATTCGAACGTGAAGATACCACTTGTGGTTCGATAAACCCAAGCAGCCTATCGACTGTGGAACCTTTGGAAAAAACCGACACTCCATTCGTCGACGGACTAACACCTGAAATTCTGGGCCTAGATTCTCTGATGATGCAAAACTTCTCTGTTCAGGACTCCGATGCAATCGTTGACTCCGATCCCTTCATGGCGACTATGCGCTTGGTCTATTTGTATCGACGAGGTTTGGTTTGGTAGGTATGTCGGGCCTCCTAGGAACGTATTTTTGTGCTTCGCTATGTTGTTCCTGGACATCGTATTAGACCTGGACTATATGGGACACACGAGTCCCATAATTGTTTTCTCTTGCTGAATTCGCACTGTATCTTCACATACCATTGTCATATTAAATCATATCCTTCACTCCTACTATTTGTTGTCCGACGTCCAGCTTCATAAAAGACAGTGAGCAAAGCCGAACATCATCGGCATATCTATGTAATGAAACCCGGTCTGCTCCGCCTCGAGCACGGGAAAAGTTCACACCCTGCCCAGTCCCGTAATTACACCTCCGTGTTCCTTAGACCGCCCTCTCCTCCCTCATTTCTCATTTTTTATTTCTAATTTTTATATATCGTATTCCTAGTACGATGTCGACGTCTGTCCGTCTTGCTCGACGCGTTCTCTCCTCTTCGCGCCCATTGCGCGCCCCATCGGCCCGCACGTCAGCTCGCACGGTGTTCAGCCAGCGTTCGATGAGCTCGAGCACCGGTGGTGCACATGGATCGAGTGGGGGCAGTGATACTCCTTGGATGGTACGCGCTGTTCTCGTCCCTCTGTAGAGGAAGTAAATACGCAATGGAAATACATTAATGACTTGTGAATTTTGGGGTATACAGGTCGGGTCAGGACTTTTATTTGGGCCTGCTGTGAGTCGATCAATCATGAATTACTTTTACTTTATGTGTTTTTCGTACTACGTGTTTCTTCTTCCCTATATATATATTCCTTGTTTCCATATTCCTTCTATGCGAATTCACGAGATTGAATCTAACCTCAACAACCAATTTATTCCCGACTAGCTTCTTTACCTGCTCTCGCCGTCAGCCCGCAAATCTAGTCACGGTGACGCACATGACCATTCTTCGCATGCTCACTCCGAAGACGCGACCCACGCTACCGTTGAGGAGACTGAACAGACTGAGGTATGTCTTTCCTCGCATGCCAAAAGTGAGACGCGTCATTGACGTTCATGGTGTATGTATACACAGGACTCGCCTAAAGATGCTGAGCCAGCCGTCGAATCGCAGGTACAACTCCCCTTTCGTGACTTTTGCTCTTAGGTAAACTAACACTCATATTTCAAAGCCTGCAGAGGACAACTCCATGACTGATGACGAAGGCACAAAAGCCTCTGGCGAGGAAATCCAAGAATCGGTTCAGAACGCTCTTGTATGTCTTTACTTGACTTTTCTACTCCCTGTCATTAACATCAGTCCTAGAACACCGACTCACCCAAAGATGCCCAAGTAGCTGAAGAGGCCACTTCGTCGGATAGCGAACCTGCTCCAGCAGCGTCTAGTGACAGTGCTGCTGAAGGTGAAGGTGAGAAAAACGAGCCCACGGATATCGGTCAGGCAAGGGCGGAGGCTGTCGTAAGTGCCTTTCTCCCTCAATTACATCCATGACGCAGAAACTGACCTTGCCCTTCGCCCTGGTTTTCGTGTCTTTCTGGCATTGTCATTGATAGACTGATACTCCCCCTAAAAAAGCTGATCCCGAAGCTGAGCAATAAGGCCTCTGCGTTTTATTTTGTGGTGACAGGCTATGCTTTAATATATTGGAGCGTATTGCTCAGCACGGGACAATGCATAGATAGAAATGTTCTGGTAAGGAGCAAATTCAATTATCAGTTCGGTTATCACAATAGTGCTGCATGTCACCACAGTAAATCAATACATTCTGGCTCAAATTCTGGCTTGAGAAAATGTTTAGTGCAAGGGCCTGGGTTTGGTGTAACCCCTAGGGAAGTTAAAGTAGCAGAACAGCGTGAGAACCTCTGCTTTCATGTCTTCCGAGTCAACATCCCAGTCGTCACCCTCGAGCCCACCTTCTGGCTCTCCCAAAAGGCCTATCTATCAAACAGAAACCACTGGTAATTACTGGCAGGATGTCTGGTTAGCCACAAAGGTGAGGTTTCTCTCTTTTAAAAGAGACTGCACTGACCGCGAGCTGGCAAAGACAGAGAATATCTGTCACAGATGACTTGCAGCATCTCGGGGAAGTACCATGTGCGCGTAACAGCCTCTTGAATGGAATAGCAAGTGGTGTGGGTGTGGGTGTTATCAGGGCTATCAGTGCCAGTGTGTAAAGTGTTGCTCGACTTGCATGCTCCCCACTAATTAGGACTGACTGTAGATCCATTCGTTGCATCGAATTGGGCTGTTGGAACATTTATGCTGATATCGCTGGGCACATGGTATGCATTTAACCTTAAACATTGTGTGCGCGAATAACCTCTGTCCAGGACTATCTGCAGGACCAATATAGAGACTGAGCGCAGAAAAATACAGCGTGTTGTCGAGGACATGCCCAAGCGGTTCGTCAAGCAGAACCAAGGAAATGAGAAAGAAAACGCTCCAGAGTCATAAAAGTAGGACGAGGGTAGTATTTCGATCTAGATACAACGAGACCACGACGTTTCTATTACCATATCAGCTAATGATACACTTCTTATCCTTTCATACGTGCAGCTAATCTAGCTCCATTCTGATGTCCAGACTTCCGCATTCCAATTCTCCACAAGCTTTGGGTCGTCCTGCAACGAGTGTTAGTCGCATGATGAGTAAGACAACACTAGCATTTACATACCCTAAATTGCGCTTGAAATTCCGTGAACCCGCCTCGAAGAATGAGTACCTCATGTGGGATATCCTTTCCTTGATCTTGTAACATGTTCCGTGTTTCTTCATAAATCTGACATAGACACTAAGCCTTGCTGGATCACCCGAATACGATATTTACTCACTCGTGCAGCCTTGGGTCCTCTACGAATACAACGTTACAGATATGCCTATCGTTTGCTGTGCCGAGAATTACGCACCTAGCTTGAGACAGAGCACAATGGAAGATCACCTTGGGCACATCATTGGTCTTCCTAACGAGCTCATCCACACTTCTCAGAAAATCAGCCGAGGGCAAGTTGTGACTACCCTTGATATTTCCGCCCACGTAGTCGTCGTCGCGCACATCAACGATGAGATAGTCTTTGTGCGGCACCTGGTCGCTTTTGACGATCTTCGCAAGGTCCTGAAAAGATCTGTAAACATGGTAAAGCGTACGCAGCCATACTTGACATGAATACTTACTTCGCCTGTAATATACTTCACCATCGAGGTGTTGGAAAGATAACGATGCCAGTGGCAAGGCGCTGTCAGCGACCTGGTAAAGGATATCATGATGATTAGTCATCGCCACCCTTGTCAACAGGTTCTCCTCCATGTCTCTGGGGATCCTCACAATGTCCTTTCCTTCATTCCCTTATCTCGCTTCCCCATCTTGAGACATGGCTGCCTACGAACCTCTCCAGATAGATGACCGCGGGTACCACGACGAAGACGGTACCAAAGATCCTTTGCTTCAGGACGAGCTCAACAGTATTCCCCATTCAAAACAGCCCACATCAAAATGGGCACAATGGGGGACTGTTGCGGTTTCTCTCCTCTCGGTATTATGTGCTTTTGCACTGTATCTAGCGTCTATGCGTGTCGAGCTTCCTGGTCCACGGAGTGCGAAGGGTTTGCGCCAGCCAGACCAGTACAACACTCTAAATCTGACACAAGAGCTCAAGAAAGGTGGGTAGCATCAGTCTTGTTATCTAATCTATATTTCCATACTCATACAACTTTGGTATGCAGGACCAATTGTCTGGTTTCCTGGTTATATCGTTCGAGCAAATAAAGCTGCACCTGATGAAGTTTACACATCGGGCCCACATGTCGTGCTGGATGATAACGTGAGTAAATTCAGGACTTCTTGGGCGCCCCCCTCTTGATTCGCCTTTGTAGAACTCTATGTTCTTCCAGTTCCGTATGCCCGCATCCAAGTTCACTCGGTGCTACATTGGTTCTGCCGTACCTACTCCAGAAGAGGGTGCTGCTGCCAACAAGACCTACGTCTCCTCAGGGTCTCTCACGGAATTCAAAGTATGGAACGTTACCACGCCGTCCAAGCCTATGAAGAGCCTCAGTTGGAATACACGTCCTGAGCGGGTTGCCTTGATGGGGACGGTCGCATTTCTACCCGAGGAAGAGATGATAGATCAGTTAGACTTGGAAGATGGTTGGCAGCTGAGCGACCCGACGCCGAGGTTTGCATGTGGTCAGAAGGAAACGTACACGATCGAGGTTTCTTGTGAGGGATGTAGCCTTGAATATGAACAAATCCTCTCGCTGCCTGCATTGGGTGAGTTCGCCATTGTCATATTAATTAAGTTTCGAAGGAAAGCTGAATTCGACGATGCGCAATCTGTAGCATTCGACTTGTTCCAGATTGGCTAGGCCAATCTGCGCGCTTCAAACAGCGCTGTATGAATGGCTTTCGGTGGTTTACCTTGAGAGATGTCGCAAAGTCATGTCGTGCTTTTCATAACCGGTTTCCACGACTATCACAGTTCTTGTACGTGTATAAAATACGAAGTACAATCTACTCATAAATTGTTCCTTGCACCAACCATCATCTCTCTAAATTCACGGATCACATAGAAAACATCTGGGAACAAAGACAGTCAGTGTTGGTGAGTTCATCAAAGACTGAAATACGATGAACAGTTCCTACCAATATAACTCGGATATCCAGTGAGTCGACATTGTGCCTATGCATGAGCCTCTGATATCTTTGATGTTTGATGGCAGAACTTGATCAATTCGGTCTTCATTGTCTCAGCCGGGTTGACACCAGTGCCAAAGTTGTCATGTATCTATTAAATTGACCGTTCTGTGCCGTTACTCGCCTCCCATCATGATTGATATATTTATAATCATCCATCATCGGCTTGCCCTTCTCTCTCACCTGCATTGTGGTTCCACGCCAGACAATGGCTTCCTACGCACCACTCCAGACGTCAGAAGACCATGGGTACGACTATGAAGAAGAAGGCACTAAAGACCCCTTTCTTCAGGAACCATTACGAGAATCCAATGCGATAGACTCGGAGAACCCCTCGAGCCTAAATGTGTCGCAGTCCCCATCCAGACTATCACAATGGGCCACGATAGGTCTCTCTTTGATCTCGATATTGAGCGCTGGTGCCCTGTTCATCGCTTCCACGCGTGTAGAACTTCCTGGTCCGCGGAGCGCGCAGGGTTTGCGCCAACCAGACCAGTATGGAACTTTAGATCTTGTAGATGAGCTCAAAGGCGGTATGTACTGTGTATTTTTGTGTCGCCAGTGTACCCGAGCATTCCTATGATTTCTTGACCGTGTGCAGGACCTTCTGTCTGGTTTCCCCGTGTTATCATTCGAGCAAATAAAGCCGCGCCTGATGAAGTTTATACATCCGATTCACATGTCGTGATAGATGACGACGTGAGTGAACAAGATAACACACTATACAATACAAACTCGCTGATTCCATCCACCCGTTCTAGAACTCCATGTTCTTCCAATGGGTTATGCCTCATTCGAGATTCACCTATTGTTATATCGGCGCTGCTTTACCTAACACTCCAGAAGAAGGTGCCGCCGCCAACAAGACCTACAACTCCTCTGGAAACCTCAAAGAATTCCAAGTCTGGAACGTTACCACACCATCTGAGCCACTGAAGAATATCACTTGGAATACACGGCCTGAGCGGGTTTCGTTGATGGGCACGGTTGCGTTTATGCCTGAGAAAGAGATAGTTGGCCAGCTAGAGCTAGAAGAAGGTTGGCAGTTGTACGCCCCGACCCCGAGGTTTAGGTGTGGTCAGAAGGCGACATACACGGTTGAAGTGACTTGCCAGGGATGCAGCCTTGTGTACGAACAAATCCGTTCACTTCCTCCGCTTGGTAAGCTTACCGTTAAAGTTAAATTGCTATAACGGGATGAACTCAACAACGCATCATTTGTAGCGTTTGACCTTTTCCAGATCATATAGGAAAATTGTATGCTTTGTTTTCAAGGTTGAAGTACAAGTTCTAGTGTACCCATACCACTAGATACTGCTCTTAGACAGCCACGTGTTGATGGGGCCAACAATCGATCCATTTTTACTTAATTCCAGCACTTCATTTCCTGAGGTATTTCTGCTTAGAACACTGGTAAGAGCACAGTATGCTAGGGCTATGTCTTTCTTGGAGACTTGCCAAATTTAGATTCTCGACGAAACGTGGACGGAATCGGATGTGACGCCACGTGTGTATATTCCCACGGATCGTTCCGCCCAAAAACCTCCCCGCTTTTCTCCCTTTTCGCCAACGCTCTATCTTTCAATTCACGACCACAATGTCTCTCCCTCAGCCCGTACCCCCATCCTGGAAGGTCCGTATTACAGCTTTAGTGCATTTAGTATCCTCGATACGATGCTTACACCACTTTTTCAATTTTTAGGACCTCGGCAAGTCCTCCAATGATTTGTTGGGGAAGGACTACTACTTCCAGGGAACCTCTCTCGAGGTTAAAACCAAAACGCCATCCAACGTGACCTTCAAGGTCAGCGGCAAGCAGGACCAGAAGTCCAACGCGATTAATGGCGACATCGAGGCCAAGTATGCCGACTTCAAGAACGGCCTTGTATTCACCCAGTCGTGGACCACTTCGAATATCTTGCGCAGTCAACTCGAGCTCGAGAACTACATGGCAAAAGGTCTAAAACTCGACCTTAGCACTGCTCTCCTTCCTGAAAAGGGCTCCAAGTCCGCTCTCCTTAACGCCATCTACAAACAATCCGGTGTGCACACCCGGGCTACCCTCGATCTTTTCAAAGTAATTGTTTCCTTTTTCTAGCTCGCATACTTCATTGCTGATCATGGCTTCTTTTGTTAGGGTCCCACTTTCACCGCTGATACTGTTGTCGGACGTGATGGTTTCCTTTTCGGTGCTGAGGCCGCATACAACGTGACTGAGGGCAGGATCACTCGTTACGCTGCTGCTGTTGGTTACAACGCTCGCGAATATGCTCTTACCCTCCACGGTCTCAGTAACCTGAGCACCTACTCTGCTAGCTACTACCATCGCGTCAGCCCTGACGTCGAGGCCGGTGCTAAAGCTGTCTACGACACCAAGGCCACCACTCAAGGTGTTTCCCTCGAAGTCGGTGCTAAGACGTAAGTTATAATCTTGTAATAACAGATATGAATATCTCACTCCCTTGTGTTAGTTTCCTCGACTCAGCCGCATATATCAAGGCTAAGATCAACAACTCTGGTGTTTTGGCCCTCGGTATGTGATGACCTGTTTCTGAGTCCGGTCAACAACTGACATTATTGGCAGGTTACACCCAAACTCTTCGTCCTGGTGTAAAAGCCTCGTTCGGTCTTGCCCTCGACACTCAACGACTAAACGACCTTTCTGCTACCGGGCCCACTCACAAAGTAAGTTGAAACAGCCTTGACGATATACGATATCTCACTAAACAACTTATTATGCAGGTTGGTGCTCATTTCATTTTCGAGGCATAGAGTGTTATTGTAGCATAACATATTGTGGGCCGAACGTAATTGGACATGTTATACATTCATTTTGGTCCCGAACCACTATTTGCTGCATTTATGGGGTGATTTTTCTGCTGAGTCGTGCAAACACCGTGAAGAAAACAGAGAAGATCCGCGAGCACCAAGTTCATGGAGTTTGAACTTAAGACGTTCTAGTTATGTATAAGCGGGTTAGGCTATAGATTACAGCATAAGATCTGACAGAGATCGCTCATAATGCGTTATGACGTCCAGGAGAGAAGAGACCACTCCGATCGCATTTACAATAATGCCCGCGTTGGGACAGTCGATTTATATCAGGTGTAGTAAGTCTACATTTGTTGATTTGTTTGATGGACTTCAAGCTGTCCGCGAGATCAGAGTAAGTACAACAAAGGGGAGTATAGAGACAACAGGCGAGGGGAAGACGAAGACGAAGAAACTGAGGAGAATGATATGATATGAGTGTATTTAAGCAATTAACGGCGAGAAACTTTGTCTAGCACTGCAATCAATTAAGATGATGAGCAATCTTTGCACAGATCACACATGACAAGAAACGCGTACCGCTTTCATATGCCACTTCACTGAAGTCGGTACCTTGCACCTCTGTGGCAATGCCAACGAGGGATCGCCGCAGGGCATCTTTAGACGATGCGAGCAACATCTTCTGCTTGACCTTGGCATCATCGGGAGACCTGCGGGACAAAGGAAAGACCAAACCGCACACAGAAGAGTGTAGCGTTGGATAGATCAGTAATCGATTGATCAATGGACCAATACCAGCACAGGTACTAGGGCTGATATGTACTCACCAAGAGTAGAAGCAAATCTTGTTCCTCTTGCCCTCGCCCTTCTCGTACTCAAAGTCATAAACAGCCCATCTGCACTCCCTCTCGGGAAGTTCGGCCAGAAACTCGTCGTAGTCTGGCGAGTCTGATGTCTTGTGAACAATAATTTCTGTGTTGTCCGAGTTGAGCGTGAAGACAATGAATTTCAACTTCTTGCCCAGCTTGAGTGTCTCGAATGCCGAAAGGCACTCCGGATTAACACCAACGCCGGATGCCTGTGAATGTGAGCATAAGTGAGGATAGTACGCTGTTCTGTGGTACATACCATGATAGATAAATGTTATGGGTGGTGAGGATTGTAATAGTGTGAGACAAGCTATCAGCTGTATCGCGATCAGAGAGAGATGGTTACTCTCAAGCGGCGATTGCCACGTTAGATAACTCCGACCTAATAAAGCCCAGTGCGCCGCTGCGGGTGCGGGCAAGATGGTGCTCCGAGCACAGCACACTAGCTATAGGCTGATCTATCACGAGCTGTGTCACGACACTCCGGCTGCGGCCAACTGCGTAGCATTCATTGCAGGAACAAGTACGAAAGGCGTTCTCGACATATTTGTTTGGTTAAACTGAACTGAAATTATACAAACACGTTGTCTAGCCACGCCTCATAATCATACTCTGGCTCTCCGGTCCCACTCTGATCAGCTGGAATCACTTCACGGAGGTAATCGATGGCGCTAACAGGCAACTGCGCAAGCCGCAGATCAAGCTCAGTTACAAATGGCTACGGAAGGCTGTAAGCAAATGTACTGCCATAAAGTTGGAATAAATAAATCAGACCTTGTCGCCAGCAATACCGCGGAATGCCTCCCGCAGCTGCTCCGGAGATGTTTGATCCTCAGTTATATCAACCTATAGACGCATTAGCTAGAAACAGCTCCACGGGACGAGAGACTTGCCAATAGATTGATGAATGCTTCGAATGTGATTGCTCCGTAGTCCAGCACAAGCTGGTCATAGATGTAATCCATGTCTTCATCCTGTGTAAAGAGAACTCAGGTGTGACCAATCACTTACGCAAAAAGTAAATGTATCTTACAGAGTATACAAGACCCAGACTCGCCAATGCTGCGCTTGTTTCGGACAAACTGAGCGTATTGGTCTCGTCTCGATCAAAGTAGCGAAACGTGCTCTCAAATTGTTCTAGTTGTGCAGGAGTCAAGTTGGTCATGTTGCGAGACACGATCTATACCCACAGGATAGAAATAAATGATGCGAATGAAGTTAGACGAGGCGAATCCTCGCACCTGATTATCGATGAATGATATTTTCTTGGCAATGCTCTGAGTAAGAAGCTCTAACTCGAATTCGAGGTCTGAGCAAGTGAACACGGTATAGTCGTTTTCCTCAACATTTGCAGCAATACATGCAGACTCAGCATTTGCTACATCGACCAGAGCATCCGACAGGGCAGGTATTCGGGTTTGAATTTCCCGTACTTGTTCTTGCTGAGTCTTTTGGGGTATTTCGGTAAAGGGGATACGATGTCTATCTTGGTCAACAACTCCTACCTCTAAAGGACCAGCAACAGCTGATAGTTCTAACGAGACAACATGAAGTCGTTGTTCGAAATCATTTGCGATATCGGCGAACTGTTTCCGTAGAGTCTCCTTGATTCTGCACCGATGTCATCAGGATCCCTAAACGAATAAAGATGAGTTGCTACTTTGACTCACTGTCGTATTTGAGCATTGATTGCCCTGGAGCGCTTTGCTTCAGAGGCTAACAATGCGTCCCAAGCGTCACCCAGATCCTAACTTGTGATAAATCGACAAGTCAAGGGATAGGATCAAGATGAATGATAGCTTACCAAAAGTGTAAGCCCAAGAGGAGGGACGTATTCTCTCAGTCCATATGTACGGAGTTTCGTCTGAATATTGCCAAAAAGTGAAGTAACGTCTTGTCGTTCTGTAACCCATGCACGTTTGTTCGTCTGTTTATAGGTGGTGAAAGTAGCTGAATGTTCTTTTGCATCTGTATAAGTCCCAGAAAATTGGCTGGCCGCCCACTCGTCCTGTGTCTCGATCAGGGAGCTTAAAAGCTGATACGTCATTGTAAACTGAGGAGTACAGAGATGTGGAAGATAATTGTGTTCGTACCGCCCGAACGCGTCGTTCATAATCATTTTTACTTAGCCATACTGACTGCATCAACTCGGCAAACTTTTCGACACGACGTGAAACTGTCTCTGCTTGGTCTATTGATGACATCGTAAGAAATTAAGTTCTATGCAAAGGATATGATCACGGAGCGATACTTACCCATAGTAGAAAATGCATGAAAAAAACTTGCAATGTAAGTCATAACACTACGTTCATCAGGCCGGCTGGAATCGCAGACATCCTCCACTTCTAATAATTGCTGCAAGAAAAGATATGTATCATAATAATAAGATATTTAGCGCATATATACTCACGGGGATTCCAAGATGATCTGCTGCTACTTGAAAAGCAAGGCGAGTAATACCATGTCGGTCAGACTAGCATAGAACTATTACGATCTTCGAATCCAAGAGGATCTAGGTCACAAACCTTGTCTAGTTTGTCATAGTCCAGCAAATCAGGTCGATGACAATGAATGAGGGCACAGCTGGAATGAGACGTTACGCGTGAAGATAGAAACCAAGGACATAGTAGTTGCATTACTTACAGGGCGAGCCCGTCCGACCAGCTGAGGGAGAAGTCTTGTACATTGACTTCTTTGTAAGGTTCCGTCTTGCGTTGACACCAGAGCAAAAGACCCTCCTTGGCAGACAGACCTTCTTCACTGCGAGTATCAAACATTGATCAGCACTGAAAGGTACTGAAGATATTTACCGCAATACGGTTTAAATACCTGATATCTGCAATAGTAAACCGGAGAATGAGTGTCCAAATCATGCCAAGAATGAGCTTCAAGTTTCCATCTATGATATCTATCGCATCATGGTTTTAGACTGGTAGAACGATGGACCAAGAATGCTTTTAAACCTTCTGGTCCAATGTTGGTAAGTTTGACTCCTCTGGATGTGATAAATTCTAAAGCCTTGTTCACATTCTCGGCCTTCTGCACGCGCATACGGGGATTCTTGTTATATCGTCCCAACGATGTATCACCTATAATATGTCCATTTCTCAGATTGTCACCATAATTCTGAATAACCAATCACGAGGAATCTTACCCATAATCTCCTGAGTAGATCATTCATTATCAGCATATATACACACCAATACCACGATTCCCTAACCATGAGTTGTATCAGCCGCACACCATCAGAGAGATCTTGCACCAAGGAAGTCATCGGAGGATATCCCTGAGCTTCTAGTTTGGTGTTTAACCTGGGCAAGTAGGCAAACCATAAAGCAGTTATGAGTTTCCTGCATTACGAGCGCCGTAGACAGGTATTTTTTCACAGACCACTTGCAGAACGTCCGCTCTTGTGTTGAATCCATGGAAACAGAATTGTAGGACGGAAGTGCTCAATTTACTGCTCGTGAATGTCCCAAGCTTGAAGTATGTTCAAAGCTGGTAAGTTGACTGGTCTCGGTAACCTATAGTTAGCTCTCGTATGTTTTCTTCAGTCCTTTCGAAGGTCACAATGATGGTGAATATCCAAATGATGTTAACACAGAAAGGCAGAATAGGGCTCTGAGGGTATTGGAGCAAGCGGGACCAAGGAAGACAAGCTTGACTCAGAGACCAGAAACACTGGAACGCGCCGACGCGTTAGTTTGTCAGCAACCTGCGCGTTGACTCTTTATTGCAATCCACCACCAGCAAGGCTTTCCGTCCATCATGACCACCCAATTCGATAAGATATATCATGGCATCGCACAGGAAGTTGGCAGTAAGTACAACTTGGCAAAGATTAACTTGTTTGTTGAACTTGCATGACCCCAGAATTTCGTGTGGCTGCCAGTGGGATGGCTTGGAAGGGCGAGGAAAGCGAAGGAGTAATAGCTCTGCCTTCAGGAGACATAAAATGGGCACAGTGGTTGCGGGTCGCCCGTAACTTCCAGCTTCGTATCGATATGAAAGACAGGAGACGTGAAACCTTCGATGGTTTCGCCCGAGAAGTAGGTATCTGCGTCTGCAGCAGCGCAATTTTAATATCAAACTCCTTTCTGTAGGATCATGACAAGCTAGCGGGGCTGATGAAGCAGCACTTTGGCGTAACGCTGGAAGTTAGAGATGTTTCATTCAAGGGCTGGAACTGGGGAGTTACCGATTTCCAAGGTCTCTTTTTGTTTCATATAACTCATTTTATTGTGCAACTAACTACCTTGTTGTTGAATTTTTGAAGGCCAGGACCTAGCTTTCTTGGTTTCAAACAAAACCTCTTTCGAACTACCACTTCGTCAAGTGGCCAACTCCAACATAGCAGGTCGCACTGAAGTCTCTCTTGAATTTGCTCCATCGTCAAGTGGTAAGAAACCATCTCGATCTGCTCCTGATGAGATGGTCGAAATACGATTCTACGTCCCTGGAACTCATGCTCGCCAGCGTGGTTCCGACGCTGGGTCAGAAAAGTCAGATGTAGAAGAAGAAGACGAGGAAACGAGCGCTGCCCAAGCCTTCCACGATGCTATTAAAGATAAAGCTGACATTGGCCAGGTCACAGGGGATCTTGTACTCAGCTTCGAGGAGGTGCTTGTTTTAACACCAAGAGGTCGCTACGATGTGGATATGTTCCTAGACTTCTTGCGGCTCCGAGGTAAAACATACGATTACAAGATTCTCTATTCCAGCATCTCGAGGTTGTTCCTGCTACCCAAGGATGATCAACATGTTCTATTCATCGTAAGTTTCGATTCCAACATGGTGAAGAGGAAGTTCCTGATATCTCATATATCCTACGTAGCTCGGTTTAAGCACTCCCATTCGTCAAGGTCAAACTCGATACCAATATTTAGTTATGCAGTTTGCTAGGGAAGAAGAGACCACAGCGGAGCTGAATATGTCAGAGTACGTTTCTTATTGTCTCACCCTAATTGTCAACCTTTTTATGTGTATGTGTATACAGAGAAGACATCACTAAGTACGATAGACTTAAAAAGAACTATGAGGACCCTACCTTCGAAGTGGTGTCTGGTGTATTCCGTGCCCTTTCGAAGAAGAAAATCATTGGTTCTGGCAGTTTCTCAAGGTGCGTAAACCATGTTTACTGTAAAAGCATATATTCAACCTTTTTACCGCAGTCGCGACGGTCACCCTGGTATCAAAGCAAACCTCAAAGCAGTACAGGGCGATCTTTTCATGCTCGAAAAATACATTTTCTTCGTCTCCAAACAGCCAACTTTAGTCGAGCTTTCGGATATACATCAATGTGTTTTCTCGCGTGTCGGTGCAAGTATGGGCGCCACAGCCGCTCGAACTTTCGACTTGAAGATTGTGACGAAGAGTGGCCCTGAGTACACATTTACATCTATCAACAAAGAAGAGCACGAGCCAACAGAATCGTACTTGAAGGACAAGAAAATCAAAATCAAGAATGAAATGGTACCCGATGTGGAGATGATGCTGGCTGCAGGTGCTGCCGACGACGACGACGAAGAGATGCAAAGTGTGGCCAGCAGCGGAGATGAGATGCCGAAACCCAGACTCGGCGGAGACGAAGATGACGATAGCGAAGAAGGTAAGCCCACATTATGGCACAATCTGTCAGGATGAATGTTGCTTGCTAACGGAAAGAAAATATTAGATGAGGACTTCCAAGCATCCGAGACTGATGCGGGTTCTCCGACTGACAGCGACTCTTCTGATGATGGGGGCGTCACAGCTTCAGACGCCAGTGGCGATCGAGAACTTGCTAAAGGTGGCAAAACCAAAGGGAAGGGCAAGAAGAAGGATGGTACTGCCAAGACTGGAGCAAAAAAGGCAAAGGCAAAGGCAAAAGCAAAAGCAGCGGATAGCGATGCTGAGGATGACGAAGAGAAGCCCAAGAAAGCCGCCCCAACAAAACCGAAACCGAAACCCAAGGTGAAGAAGGACGCCGGAAGTGGTGATGAGGCTATGGATGTAGATGAAGAGAAACCTAAAGCCAAGCCTAAGCCAAAACCAAAACCAAAAGCTGTCACGAAGCCAAAAGCAGACGAGGAGGTCGAGCCGGCGAAAAAGAAACAAAAGACTTCAGATTAGAAGTCATCTTATAGGACGCTTCTTCCCATGTTCTTCCAGCCTTCGTGTATCTAGCTAGCATCATTCCATTTGTAGGTAATTTTTATTTCATTCCTAGTTCATTTTATACAAATCTATACATCCTTCCTTGTATTATGAACAAAATGTGAGACTAACATAAATCAAACGACTGCAAACAACGCAAAACTAGAAATTAACGAATGGACGAATGGACATGTTATGGTTGAACATCTCCTTTTCGTTTGGCTAGAAGTGAGCCAGGCTCAAAGAAGAGACCAGTAGTGGCAGATGCACTCGATGGTGTAGCTACATTGACCAAAGGTTGAGTAGGGCGTGACGCTGACGATTGTTTCCTTGTCGCAGTTCGAGAAAGCCCTTTGGTATTGACGTTCAATCCTGTAGCTTTTGTAAACAACACATTGCGCTCTTGATGTAGAACATATGACTGTAGCTCTGTGAGTAGACCCGAAGATGCAGTAGAAAATAGGTAACCTACGCGGGCAACAAGAATAGCCTGCATCCACTTCTCGCCATCTTTTTGGTTGCATGAGAATACATGGAGATAGTCTGATGCATCCTCGAATAAAGTTAGATTGTCCGTTGATTTCACGGCAAAAACGAATGGCTTGGGTGCCTTATGGCGCCGAGTAACATAGTAAGCATCGAAATTAGATAGAGAGCAAAGGAATGTCTCGTCTTTGCCCTGTAGTAGTTTTGATCAGAATACCAGTCTTTCATGCTAAATTATAAAATCATACCGTGTCGCGTTTTGAGAGCCATAAGCTGTGCTCCCTCAACTCCATCCAACGCTTGCTCCATTTTCCTCGTTTGCTCTCCCACTCAACATATCCTCGGCAGGTAGGAGAAAGAGTCGGTATAGCCTAGGTGAACGTGTAATTTAGAAAGTGGAACAACACGAATGTGGAGGTGAGACTCACGGAACGACTTAAGAGCGGAGCTAGAGGTGTCGTTTTAACGGCAAATGCATTGACCATCTTGTCTTTGTTCCATGAAGCTGAAATGTCTGACAGAAGTTCATAACTTCTTATAGGTCGCTCTACGCAAAGACGTATGTCATGAGCATCCAAACTTTTACAATATCGTTGGATGCTTACCCATGCCAAAGTCTTGAGCCATTTCCCAAAGCATCCATCCTGTAGCACCCTCAAGCGCCCCTTGGCTCGCTATGAGGTCAACAACGTCTCCTGCATTGGTACCTGGTAGAAGCTCTACCATGCTAAAGCGTTGCATACCACCAATGAATATCCTTTGCTGTGTAGCCTGAGTTTTAGCAGGTGCCTGTTGAGCAAGGGCAGATAACACTTCCGCCGGAGGAAGTGGAGGGACAGGAGGACGTTGTGTGGAGCGATGTACTGGAACGTCGAGATCGCCCTCAGAAGAAGTACGAGTAGATGCGTATCCACCACTCGTCGTAGGTCTCCTAGCAACATCACTAGATTTAATCATTTTACCAGACTTGTCGAGACTGACGCGACCACTCTCTGTACTGCGCATTACCGATGAATCGTCAACGGCTCTTCGATTCCCAGTGGTAGCACTTCGTCCGATCGACTGTGAAGATGTACCTTCATGTCCTGACTGCGGGTCCGATTTTCTGGGACCTGACCTGTGGAAGGATCTCATCGGTCTCAGCGTTCGTTCTGGAGGCGTTTCTACCGAAGGAGTTGATGGAGGCGGTGGTCTCTGCAAAAATGCGAGCTGATCATACGTGGGAAGGTTAGGGCTCTTGGAACGAGTTGCAGAGTCTCCTGACCAACCAGGGAACCCCATTGATGAAGCTTCCTTCGAATTGAGAGGTGCAGTAGCAGGGGGTGTGCGCAGACTCTGAAGAGATTGCAGCTTCTTTGCGAGATCGTCAGGGGCAAACGGCTCCATTGCAGCTGGCTTGGGACGTGTTCGTTCCCGACGCAGCGACTGTGAAGCATGGAGTGCAGCCTCTTGCGAGCTGGATTGTGGCCGATACGGTATGATCGGGGCACTCTTAGGCGGAGCTGATGAATGCGTGGAGGGCCCTCGTGATTTCATTGCACGCTCCATCCTTCGCTGCTCCCTCTCATCCTTAACCTGTTTCCGAATAGTGCGTTGCGCTTTCAGCGCAGTGGGTATGCGTTGAGCAAGTGGTACATCATCGTCTGTACCATTGTCAGAGCCAGTGACCAAAGAGTGTGAAGACTCTGGATGAGTAGAAGCAATACCCTCAAGCCCACTATAGTACTCGGTATTTCCCGCTTCCTCTTCTGAGGAAGAAGAGTAATCAGATGGACTTGAGAAAGATGAACGGTCGTTATAGCGCCTGTTCTTTTCCTCGCCATCCCCGTCATCATCCCCACGACGGCCACCGCCAAAACCTCCAGGTACCTCTCCCCGCCTGCTGAAGTTTTCACCTCCCTCATTGTCACCGCCGCGTTCTCCACCACGGTAACTGTCTGACTGACCGTATTGGTCGTGTGTACTTCGCGTGTCTCGGCCGGCTCCATCTGTGGGTACGGCATCTACTTCTGCCGAATTGGGCTGCGAATAACGAGCATTCACAGGCAGCTCCACGGCATTTTGACCCATCCCAGCAGACACATCAGGCTGCGCCGTCGGAGAGATTTCGCTATCAGACTTGTCAACAGAGTACATGGAAGTGTATGGGGTAATTCCAACTTCGGGCGAACGTGATCTAGGCTTTGACAGGTAACGGGGATCTGCAACTGAGTCGGAATCGATGAACGCTTGTGTATAGTAGTCCAAGCTCGAGTGGTAGCCTAGAGGATCGCTGGCGTCAGAGTGGTAACCCTCAACCTCAAGGTTGCTCGATATATCAGGTCGTGGTTCGTGTTCAAGCGAGAAGCTATTTTGGTCACCAGCAGCCGACCAAGAAGAGTCACCAGACACTATTGATGAACGTGAGAGCGTGCAGGAAGATGGCCCCGAAGGGGTATAAGAAAGAGAGGGTGTTGAATCCAAAGACGTGTCATATAAGTGAACACTATCCTGTGTCAAATCTTCAGAGGGAAGGGGAACCTGTGTGCCTTCATCAGAATCATGATCAGAAAAATGAAGTTCCTGGTGGTCCGACAAAGTTTGAGGAGAAGGCGTAATAGACTGTTCGCCACTCAGACCAAGAGTAAAGTCAATCCCGTCACCTGGAGGTGCGGCGTCAACACCTTGACTTTCGAAAACATCATTTCCGCCGGAAACGATATTCCTCCTAGAACCTATATTCCAAGGTTCATGAGGCAATCGTGCACCAACTGTCCCTTTTCGAACCTAAAGCAAGATATCAATCACAGCTGAAAAACTTACAAAACTCTCTAGACATACCTTCCTAGGAACAGCAACGTTCATACTGGCTAATGTGTGTAAAGATGGTAGGGAGGGACGAGGTGAGAACGCGGGTCTCGTGTGCGCTGGTCGCGCCTGGCTGTTGCCAGAAGACTTGGGGCGCGGGACAGCTGGACCAAGGACGGGATATCTAGAAGTCGAAAAATCGGGTGGGACGGTGAGTTGGGAAGTTGTTGCATCATTCTCGCTTGGTAACGTAGGTGAGAGATGAGAACGAGGAATACGAGGGAGTGGCTTTGACTCGGGCTCTGGGACAATGGTTGCGGTAGAACTGGAGGCAGAGGAGGAGGCGGATGTGGGTGTGGATGTATTATGAATTGGCTGGACGGACGGGGCTGCAAATGGGTCGTCGTCTAGCAAAAAAGAGGGTGTACTGTAATCATCCGTGGGTAGTGGAGGAGCTGCGGAATGGTCATAGCTAAAGTAGTCGTAAGGGTACGCTACAGCAGATTGGGAGCGGGCACGAGACGCGACAGTTCGAGGAGGAGATGTCGCGTTCGCGGCTGAGGAAGACGAAGATTGGAGGAATCCAGGGACAAACATTGATTGTAAGGAAGGACGTGTTTTGGGTAACTTAACCTTCTCGCGAAGGCTACTTGGTTTAGATTTGGGAGTAGGCTGTTTCGGGTCTGGAGATTGTGGCAACTCGTGGTCACCCATTGAGGGTGGAAGGTTGGGTAAGTCTCCGAGAGAAGATCCGTGTATCTGGGATAAAATCGAGTCAGACGGGTTAAGTAGGGGCATTTTGACTTGTAAGTTATGTCATGGAGAAACTTAAAGAGAGTGATAACCGGAATTGACGTAATTAAAGCGGGAATATGACAGACAAATCCATCATTCCGTTGATTATTGAGCAGCCGTGGCTTCCACGGTTTTATATGGCTGAAAAAAAGTACCATAAAAGACAAGGAAAGTGCAACGTGTAGGATGAAGTCAAAGGATTATGATTATCAGACGTGAACGCTTACCGAGGGTGCATCAACATGAGGCCGTATGACGCGAACCTGAGACACTACCCTGTGGGGATCCTCGACCAGAAAATCATCAGAAACGATATCCACTGTAGACTTGTCCCTGGCTGACTTGACGAACGGGAGGATGGTGGGGGAATCAGCAAAGATATTGCCGAACGAGTCTGTGTAGGTTATCGAATGTTTAGACGAACTGGCCAGCGCGTCCGGTTCGTTCTTTGGCGACACAGTAACGGCCATGATGTCGCTGCAAGTTCGGTGGCAAAGAGGTGATGTTGTGCAGATCAAAGGGTATGTCTAGTGAGAGATTGTGCGCATTCAAGGCGTAGTAATGAGTGTAGAAAAGAGAAAGGGAAATGTATAATGGGGATTGGCTGCATGCAGGCTAACGGAAAGCACACCAAAACTATAAATTGTGGTATACTTCGGTGTTTATGTAAACAGGGTCATTTGCCTTGACAACCAATGTAAGCCTCTTTTCTTTTCTCTTCCCTGCATCGCCCATTATTCGCTGTTTTCTCTCTTGCAGCTGCGTAGCGTCTATCTCCAGTAAAACATGTATCCAGCTGCACATATGCAGAGATAACACAGGCTGTCACCCAGACATGATGCGCTGTGTCTGTCGCGACTGGGAACAACTCTGATATGTCTGAAAATTAAACAAGGGCGCTATCAAGTAACCGAAGATCAGATGGCTGTCCACAGTCAAAATACAGCACCAGCCATGACGCTAACGCCGCACGACATTGGTCACTTATGTTCTTTGCCAAGTAAGTCTCCGAAGCAACTTGTGAAAAAACACACGGCTTATTCTGATTTACAGAGCTGATCACTGACGAGCCAAGAGTGGGTTGTCGTCTTCTACCTTCGTCCGAGGAATTACCAGCACCAAGCTGCCCAATTAACGTGAACGGGAGCAAAACACGGCCGTCGTCGTGCCTTCTCGAAAATTAGCTCGCGTGAGCTTCCTGGTAAGTTCTGGTTACAGTTATATTGCAGCGCCCGTTCTCCAGGTTCTTCGAGTTGCCTGACAGAATTTATCATTACGGTATGTAGCGAAACAAATCCCGTTTTATTATGAATCAAGAGAGTCAGACTGGACACCTGATTTGTGATCGAGCTGCACAATAATACCGTACCCATACACGGAGCTCCTTGCCTCGCTTCAAGGAATGTAGATCATTGGAGAGCTGGCAATTCGGATGCGAGAAGAAGGATCCCAAGCCCTATGACTGGTATAATGTTGACTATATGCTGGTCATGAGTTAACGTCGAGCTCCTCGTCGGCGTCCAGTAGTGTCACTGAGGTGGTCACTGGGCTTGGGCAATTTTTGGGTCAGGTACATACTGTAAATAATTCGGAACCGTCAGCAGTCTGCGGCTCGATCCATCTTTGAATACAACCATCATCATCCGCCTTTATTTTTTCTCATGCCTCGTGAGTTGCCTGGTTTCTATTGGGACGCCGAAAGAAATCGGTATTTCCCCATTTCATCCAAGCCAAAGCCAAAAATCGACACAGGACTAGCCAATTCAGAACGCCCAGTACGACCTTTGCCTGCAACGAGCTCTGATGACAGCGACAGGAGCTCAAAAAGACGGCGAAGGAGCACACACTATCATGTAACTGAATCTGTGAGGTCGAGCACACGTGGTATCGATAAGGAGAGAGGTGCACAGTGCGTAAATAGCGATATTGCAATGAACAGTTACACTGAGAGAGCTTATCAACACAATGTTCCTAATTTCTTGACAGTGGAGTCCTATGTTCACACATTGCTTCGACATCAAAGGCGACGCGATCAATCATTCCCTTGCTGTCTCACGCAACCATAACTACCTTCAAGGTTTGCATTCAAACCGTGACCCACCCATTGGAATTTGTCTGATGGGCAAAGAAAATCACACCAGACAACGTCAATAGACGGGCGCATTCTCAGCTTTCTCGGAGACAGTCGTGGCTGGCTCTACTCCTTCAGCGCTGACGAAGGTCGGGACGCGCTCGGTTTTTACTCCACGCAAGGTTGGACGCCGGAGTTCAATCTCCCATCAACGGTGCGCTGGAGCTCAAGGCCGCATAGCCAAGGGCGTCATTAACTTGAATATCTCCTCACTTTGCAAATAGATATCGTCCATATCTATTTCTGGTTCTCGATGCGCGTAAGTTACGTTGTTGTCGGAGGAGAGCTCCTTGCAGTATCTATCAACGATCAACAGCGCCACGTCCTTTGGACCAAATTGCAAAATCCTCCTCCAAGCATTGGATACCTCAAAGTAAGCCGCCCGTTCACCTCGGCGTTTGACCCACTGATCACCCCGTGGCACAATGCAGTGTGCATGTCATCAAACCCGGTGATCACCTTGTTCACGACATATGGACAAGCAGTCTTCGAGGCTCAGAACTTGTGCTAGGTATCTACTTGTGCTTGCTACAATGGAACTTGACTTCTCAAAGAGGATCGTCGACTTTTGCAGGTGCAAACAAGCAAGCTGTCGTATTTAAAGGCATCGATGACCCAAGCAATATGCGCTTCCTGAAAACTCACAGTGATGTCTTTGCCGTCCAACAAGAGGAGGTGAGAATTGTTCTTCGCTTTATCAATTGAACACCCAAGCCCACATGGCCACCAGAACCTCGTATATACCGGATCACGGAATGGGGCCATCAGCCGCTTTGACCTGCGTATCGACACGCCGAAAGGGCAAAACCTACTAGACGATGTGTTTTTATCACCAACGAATTCTATAACTAACCTCAGGATCGTTCGCGAATGGCAACTTTTAGTTGGCAACATTGATGGAAGCGTGAGTGCTTTTAAGCCATTCCTTGTTGTTTCAGGAAGTGACAAACAATTCACTCTAAAGCTTGGGACATACGATCTTCGCTATTCGCGGGGTAGGACTCCTCTCATGACCTTCGCTGGGAACGTCAATTCTTGGACAATCGCTACTGTGGGTTTCGTTATACATTTTTCTAGCCAAGCTTAATTTCGTTCATTTGGTAATTTAGGCTTTAGATGTAGATCCTGCCGAAGAATTTATCTTCGCTTCCGCTCAAGACTCACGTATACGCGCTTGGTCTTTACGCACAGGGGAACTCATACACCCCTCTTTATCTTCGACGACTTCCACATCAGCTGGGCCTTCATCTCCCTCATCTCCCATTAACTGGATCACCAATCCTTTTGAGACCGCTTTTACCAGTCCCGTGCAGGCCTTACAAGTTGCCGAGGAGAAAGAGGGCATGTGTTTGTGGGCTACATCGGGTCAACACTTGTATAAGTATCATTTGGGACAACGAATTGTATTCTAGACTATTCGAGGATTCGGTTTTGATGACCTACGAGCTCCACAATCTTGATGCTACAAAGTAATGTATTGATATAACGAATACAAATTACAATATGGGCTAAATACTATAAAGAGAGTTCTCTATGTGGAAAATTACTAGTGGAAGAACGTAGGGCATTTTGCATACAAGACCGCTGTTTTTCACTGTTTGTCTTCATGATCATCGCGCTTAACATCAAGTACAGCCTGAGGAGACACAAGTCTAGGACACACAGAACCTTCGTTCCGCACGGTCATGTCGTTTTTCTCCACTGCAGCGCTTAGGTCTACTCAAGGTCAGGGATAGCATGATTAATATCATTTTATACGCACCGTTATTCATATGGCCATTTTGAGCATCGTCGCAGGATTTGTTTGCCTTGGCGTTGGCCAAATACGTGTCACGGACATACTGTGCCATATTTGTGATATCGGATAACCGTGCAGTGTACGATAACGGTGGTGGAGGTTGACGCCTGGTGCCATGTCCGTAGTTCTGGAATACTGTTGTAGACTCAGACTGCATAGAGCCAAAGGAGAGTTCCGGGCTGCAGTTGTAAGGAGGGTGCTGAAGGACAGGTGAAAGATTAACTTGGGAAAGCTCAAAGTATACCGTCGAATCCTGGAAGCCTTTCGAAATCGACGGTAGGAAAAACTTGGAAAAATCCGGATATCTGTTGTGGAGGGGGTCCCTGGAATAGCACTGATTAGTCGATAATCCAGTACTTGGAGAAATATCACTATCGATAGAGCATCGATCCGAAGAGATTATAGATGTATTAAAAAGGGACAGAGGAAACGTTGTTGGGATATAACCTAATGAAGGGGATTGGGTGAAAGATCGAGGTGGGTCGGAGCTTGGCGTATTGACGGCGATGCCATGGTCTTGCTGTATTCCAGAAGGTACATCAGAGAACAGATAAGAAGACCCTTGCATGTTGATCACAGGCATTCCCGGCGAGTTTGAGGGAATCTGATGGATACCAACGGTATGGTGCACGCCAGCGGTAGGTTCATTAGAAGACAGATGGAAAGTATGGAGCATCGTAGACGGAGTCGCAGATCGTGCCTGCTTTGCCTTAGTGGGTTCAAGGGTAGTTTGGAGACTGTGCTTTGCCTTTCTAGATCTTGAATTCTGCCTCGAAAACCAGTTCCTGATCCAGCCCTCGTCTCTGGAGGCCATTGGCTATGCATCAGTCAGGCGGTAGGGATATAAAAGACCTACAGGCCAGTCGTTACAGCAAGCTCATGTTTCTGTTCCTCTGTTGGCCGCCGTCTTTGTTGGTGCGATTTCATGAGCAGTTGCAGTTGCCAATCTTCAGCAAATACAGGATCTTTCTTGGTCTTCATCCCGATATGGACTTTGCTAGTTGAGCGCCAGAAAAGCAGGCCAGCAGAGAATCCGACGTGAGCCCTTTGAAAGCCCAAGGAAAGTCCAGGAAATGGTACTGTAAACAATGGTTGGTGATGGTATGGATGCAAAGTTGAAGTGACCGGCAACTTGCTGATTCAATTATTACTCCCGCTCGCATTCTGCCGGTATATACACGTGATATATTCGCACGGGCATTAAGAGTTTGAGTGCTGCGCAACTTGAACTGGTCAGATAACTTGTATGAATATATAACTGCAAGCAGCAGGCTGCAGGTGTCCTGACTGTTCTTTCTTTCTCCCCACATCCTGGCGTCCGGAATGCCTTCCAGTCATCGCTCCTCAGAGAGCATCAGTTCGCCCTCGTCGCCCTCGTCACCCCATTCTCCATCCGCTTATTCGGGTCTTGTTAACGCCTCTTCCTCTGCCTTGGTTCTACTGCCAGACTCAGAAGACACCAGCCAAGACTCAGATCCATATGGCTTATTCAGCGAAGAGGAGACTGAGGAGGAACAGGACCAACAGCCCGAGATCCGTAGATTGGCAATACCACCCCTTGCACCGTCTGCCATATTTGTATATCTTTTATCGCCCTACCTCAGGCTTGGTGCAATGTACATTACAAGCGGAAATATCCCGCTAAAATACGCACTTGCTTGTCTTGTATCCTTCGCCTTACTCTCGCTCTTTTGTCGTCGTATCTGGTATCTCCTTGGTCGCTACATTCGAAAGTCAACCATCGAAGACATCCTCGCCGAGGTTTTCGCAAGGGGCAGACGTAAGAGATACAGAAGAGAGATCATACGCAATGTCACAACCTCTGTAGCCGGATTGTTAAGAGTTCTGCTGGCAACAATGTACCTTCGTGGTTAGTGGAACAATAGGACATTTATGATAGTTTGAACTAATAAGAACCTGCCCAAATCAAGAATCTATGGATGCAGTCCTTCCTTTACTTCCTGAATGGTCGTCACTGGGCTCACAGGTCGCCATTACCGTTGCATCGGGCTTGATAGTCTTTACAGTGTCCCTATCCAAATCTCTGGCCGCCAAACCTGTCATATTCTCAACATGGCTTTCTGTAATCTCTTACATGTTTTGGCTAGTCTCTGTAGCCTATGCACATGCTAAAGGTACACTTCGTCCTAACCCAAGTTGGTTGCAAAGAGGCACTCTCTGGAATTGTATTAGTTGAGTTCCTATTCAGCGTTCTCTTTTTGTGATGCTCACATATGGAAACTTGTAGCCAACTTTGCATTTACGTTTACTACAACTAGTACGGTCCCTTTGTATGCTTCCCTCAAGGCAGGACCAGCGACCTTTGCTTCCAGGACAGAAAGATCACGATCATTTACTGTACTTAGCATATCATCCGCGCTTCTCGCCGTTCTCCTCCTTCTGCCGCTGACCTTTTTCTCAGCCGTCCAGAACATGCCAGTAAGCAAATTCCTCAGTTCGCCGTTCAGTCCAGACCCTGTTGACGCCTTGAGCGCAGGAAGTGAATCATACTATGTTCGACGCCCTGATTTCTATCCTAGAGGCCACCACTCTTTTATCTTCAATTCCTTCCATCATCGTTATGATACCTTCTATCCCCATTTCAATGACGATAAGGAGGATTACTCAAGTACCTTTGAGTAAAATGTTCATCTGTCTTGTCATTCTGTCTCTGAGTCTGATACCCGTCGCTATCGCGGGTCCTATGAGCGACATCACCCTATTTTTGTCTCTGGCAGGGACCTATTTGCTACCAGGTATGTTGGCATTTAGCTTCCAGAAGATATTCTGTTTTTAGAGACTAACTACGGGGTACTCCTTAGCCGTGATACACATCATCACGCACTTCTTCAGACGCCCCATTTCCATCGTTGTTCCACCAACGCAGGCTTCAGAACCAAATACGCCGCGTACCCCTCAAGTGCCACGTCCCCCTCCTGACCTTCTTTTGCAGCGTAAGGAGCTTGCCATGCAAAGACGAAGACTTGGAAAGAGGATCATTTGGGATGTGGGGATTTGGCTTTTGCTTATCCCCGTAAGCACTTGTGGTTTGATATGGATGGTCGGACGGGTGGCGCGGCAGTGGTAGGTCATGCGCGAAGGAGAGAAGCTGCAGCGGCAGCGCCTGCTGGTAAGGTGCGGGGCTTTCCGTCAAGAAAATTTATGTAGCACATGCCAATAACGTGACGTGCTCGGAGAATCTATCAACAACTGCGCTCTGGCAGCCCATCTTCACTGGTTATCCCCATTGTCAATACCATCACCTGTCGCACTGTTATCTCTGTTGTACCTCTACCTAAGATCTTGTGAATTATTACATACTTGTGACAATGAGCTCGACTGATGGCCTGATCGCTTTTTAACCCTTCAAGCTTCACTTCCCATCCGTCGGGGAGTTCGAAGATGCATTTCGTATTATGTAAATAAAGCAAATGACATTCCTGTGCTACAGGTGACGTGACCAATCATTTCCAGAGGCATTCCATATCGTAGAATTCGTAAATAGTCCGACCATCATAAGAAATGAAACCTACGGTACCAACCAAATATCACCAATAAAAATCAAACACTGTCCGCACCGGCGGGAACCTTGTTTCTCTGTTGAGGGCATGCGTGAAGATGTCTTTTTTGAGTTTCCGCATCACTGCGAACATATCCTATCAGAAGGAGCAACGATTAGGAGACGGGAGAAGACGTACGGCTTATTGATAATGCTCTCAGAACCCGTGAAGAGGAATAAATCGTAGAATAAGGCTCCAAACTGCATACCAAGGAATGGAGCTAAAATGGGGCACCACAACCAGTATTGGCTCCGATAAGTGAATACTAATCTTAGGTTAGTCAAAAGCAAATCAGAAGATGTGAAACAGGTACCATCTCTACCATATCCCACCATCGCAGTCAACAAGCGCGGACCTAAGTCACGAGCAGGATTGATAGCGTAGCTAGTCTCCATACCCAGTGAAGCACCGATACCGAGGATTGTAATGAACAACGCGACTGGGACAAGTCCCGGCGCTGGGGGGTTGTTTCTTTTGTCAGTGATGGCCAAAATGACCATCATTAGTGCAGCAGAGGCCAAGAACTAGTGTATTCTATGAGTCAGTTATTCAGTCGCGATAGGGAGATTACTTACTTCCGAGAAGAAACATGACACAGGAGTCATGTAATCCAACTTTGTATAATACGTCAAGATAGTAGATGGTGATTAATACGCTTGATGACTTACGGCGTAAGTAGAGAATAAGCTTGCAGTACCAGGGACAGTGCGGACCCCTGGGCCACCTTCGTATAGATCGATAGCATGGAAATAATTGGCGTAGACAATGCCAGCACCACAAAGGGCTCCCATAAGTTGGGCAGCCATGTAAATAGGTACTTTTTTCCAAGGGAAGTTGCGAACGGTTGCAAGAGCCAAAGTAACCTACCAAGGAGTACAATGAGTAAGTAAGGTCTGAAATACGTAAATAGAAACTTACAGCAGGGTTTATGTGACCACCGGATATTCCACCAGAAACGTATACGCCTAGAGCAACACCTACCAAGAGCATATCAATTTTGCGTAATAAAAAGATAAAAAAAATTATTTACCAACTGCCCATCCGAAATTGAGTGAAAGGTAACTCTACACAAGACGAAGGTGAGCATAGGCTTTGTCCCAAATTTTCTGGGATAACTTACACCTTTGGACGTAGGCGCGACATTTGGATTTGAAGATAAGACGACTTGCAGATCGCCACCGACTCCAAATATGATCAGAAACATAATTCCGAAGAACTCAGCAGCAGGCTCGCGAAGATATTCCCTAAGCACCAGAGAAGCGTGGATGAATACCCAGAAGCATACTGAAGGGAGGTGTCTCACCGAATCCTACACCATCTGTTGGGATATCGAGTGCAATGGTCGCATTCGGTCACGTCGACGATGGCTGCGTCCCCCTTCCCTGAATATGAGCAGCTGCTAGCATCTGAACGTCGTTGGATAATAGGCTTCTCGCTGATAGATTCGGACATGGTAATAATACAAAGCTACAAGAAGAGAACTAGTGGAGCTTTTGCTGCAGGGATGAAACAGTCAGTCTGGTACTTATAGTGCTTTTGTCATATGAATAAAATGGTAACGTACATACCTGGCTAACAAGGCCGGAGTCCGAGCCCGCGTGCATGACGAAGTTCGCCGACAGTTGATCCTTGGAAGGAAATAGGAGGCACATGATGAAGCTCACTATTACTGGGCCATGTGGCTAATCTATGACCTATTTCGTCAAGCGGTTCCATGGATTGTTCCCTCCTAATCTCTTTACCTAAAGCGGACCTTCTAACCAATCGAGCGTTGAAACGTCGAAAGCATGTTGTGTTCTTCACTGTGCATTACGTTCCGAAACAACAACTCATTGCGTCCTCCGAGCCGAGTATAAGCCAATATTGGCACAGGGGCAAGAAGCAGACTAAGATGAAGGGTAATCGAAGTTTTCCTATAGGCCAATTGGATCTAGACTTTATACAGCCTCCGATACTTGCCAGAAACGTACTCTGTCATAGCAGTCCAAATATTAGTCACAAGTTCAATGGAGCCTCACCAAAAAAAATACCTCATGGTGATGCCATCATGATAACGCCGCTCCTTCATTCCCTCTAATGGCTGACTTACGGCGCGAGGATAAAGCCGTGACAAGGAATCTGAAAGTGACCAGACTGGAACCATCTGCCGAAAACGCGTCCTGATCATTCGGAGCGGAGTGTCACGCTTCCTGCCTGCCTAATTAAGCTACCTGTAACGTAAAGCGGGACCATCCCCGCATTTCAAGATGTACCTCTGGCACCAGTCCAGAGTTATAATTTTGATGGTTGTTGATTCTGAAATACGAGGTGAGCCTTGTAGATAAGTTATCAGTATTTAACACAGCAGATAGAGGAGAAGGAAAGACGTGATCGAAGGCCAAGGAGGTCGGAGCGGTCATCTGAGGTGAAGGCAACGAATTCGAAATAGTCCAGTAATAGACCCCCCTCTGGTGTATTCACGGAAGCACATTACATGGCTATTCCAGCATCCGTAGAACAACAAGTGCCGATCTTAGATTCACCAGGAACAACATGAACTTCCTAATTGAAACAGCTTAAGTTCAATTCGAGCCTATATGTCAGTGTTATATATGCCTGCACGGCGACTTAGGACAACGATAACTGAAGCCGCGGACTCGTACCACAACGTCCCCTCGCCTTATCGATCACCAGAGTGTACGATCATCCTCGAGGAAGGAATGCCCGTGGTGTGAAAGTAGGCTAGATGAATGAATGGCGTTATGAACTATGATCGTGATACTGACCCTGGCAGATACGCTGTGCGTTCATCTTTCTCCGCATCTAACGCATATTCCTTACCACCAAAGACGGAAAGAAGTAGATCCTCGGGCGCCATCTCCAGGTATGTGCACGATCACAGGGACTTGTCACTTGAAAAGGACAAGACGGGGCTGTACGATTTGGAAGGTCAGCTGCGAAGCATGGAGTCCCGACGAGCAAATGGTGATCGACGACGTAAACCACGTAACTTTGAAACGGAATTTCTACACGGAAAGAAAGATTAAAACAGTTCTACCGTGCAGTATTTGGAGATTGATAGCAAAGCAAAGAACTTAGGCCATGTGAGAGAACCCGTCGTGGGCCTATCCCAATCAGAAAAGGGTATGTTACATCCAAACCCATCCGTAAAATTTTGGCTAGATCACATATGTCTGACAGCGGAACGAGCCGCACGCGCAGGAGAATAATCAAACGTCAAAAAAGACAGTGCGCGACGGCCATTGAGGCTTCATATCTATTTCCGAAGCAGGTGAGCCGGCGATAATGTGGCATTGTGAATGTGAAAATTCATCCACTGCACTATCGCCTGGGCCATCCCATGCAGAGATGACAGGACACTCGGACTTCGGGATATCGCGCAGAAGTACTAAAGAAAAAGCTTCACAGGACTTACGAGATAGGTTTGAGAAGAGTGAACAAATTATACATTGGTGGTGCTGCGGTCAGGAGACCAAATAAGACTTTACTGAATGAACAAACTCGTGTGGCAATATAGCCAGTGCCTGTAAGGTAACATATTAGGGTAGATTTGGCCGGTAGTGCTATAATAGAAAATTACCTGACGATATTTTTCTTCCCCTCCTACCTGCCAGCCACTCTCTGCAACAGGCAATATACAATTCCTCACTAGCTTTGCGCATAACTCACCAATACCAAATTTCTCCCGAGTATACTTCCTCCAACGTACAATTGCCTCTAGAAGCTTGATTCTACGAGACAAAAAGCGCTGACGCGCAGGAACTGCTTCGGGGTCGAAAGCCGGCCTGTTTTGCGCGATAAAAGGAGCCAATAGGGATTCCGTGGCGATAACGGCAGACTCGAAGACGGTATATACAGATTTCAAAATCATCTGGATCTAAAGTGTCAATGGGCGGCCGATAACCCCAGGTGATGCTTACCTGGAACTTGTGGTTATCTTCTCCAATGGAAGCCTCCACTTGTTCAGTAAGGTCTATTATTCTCCGAGTATCTCTATCCGAATACGGATCGAAAGCACCTCCTTCAATCAACTTACATACGCGAGGCACGATAGCTGTCGAGGTCATTGCTGAGACCAAATCACCGTCTGGACCCAATTCTGGCTCTTCGTCGTCTTTATCGTGTGGCCGAGAGTAGTCATACAAGGACGAGTACCATGTAAACTCGTCTAAGCTTTTCGACACCTGAAAAATAAGGTCTACTGTAGAACAACGATATTTGTACCTTGCATACATACCTCGAAAGGATTCCAGCCAAGAACTTCTAAACGAACCCAAAACTCCCAAGCGCCTACCAGACCAAGGCCACCCCAGGCACCTGTATAGCTATCGGCGAAACGCCCGCGCCATTCACCAAACCACTTAGCTAGTCCCAATCTGGGATCTTTGAATTCGTCGGCGCGAACGTCTGACAGGATACTCTGGCCGTCAGTCAGTAATCTTTGCATAGCAGTTCTATAATCCTCAAAGTCTGACGGAGGCAGAGACGAATCAGTTGAATATCCTTCTTCCTCTTGTTTTACTTGACTAGGCGGTGCCTTGGACTGTCTTCGAGTACGACGAGAGATACGGGCGCCTTGTCGCTCGCGCCTCAGCACCGCGGGATTAGATCTAGGTACAATACGACCGAGCTCATCGGTTTCATCTGACTCTGGCTGAACCTGAACAGGGAGAATGCCGAACACAAAAGATAGATCATCTTCATCGTCAGCACGCCGTCGCTGGCTAAACATATCCCATCGCTCCCCGAGGATCGAGACATGTTCATCCTCAAGTTTTTCCAATTGGGGGAACTATTGGAGTAAAACCCAATGAGAAAGTGCCACTAATTTCGGAAAGTGTCTTACTTTTTCATCGAGAAACGTGGCAATGCTCTCTATTCGTTCTTTGAACGCAACAAACCAGCTCCTCTTGTCTTCAGCCGTATTAATCATTGTCCTCAATTCTGTCTCTCGAGAACTCAGCTGATCAAGTTCGTCTGCCAATGACGACATCGTGCCAGTGTTCTTGGCATGGGATGTAGTCAATGCTGCCAGGGACTGAGCAAGACGATCCACCGCGGGTCCGAGGGCAGGTATGGCAGTTGAGGGTGGTACTAGTAAGTATTGTCATCAGTACAGTGAGTAAAATGTCCAGAACCACTCAAGGGTCATACTTGGTGCAGCCTTGTATACTTGCTTCTCTGGAGCCTTTGCCATGAAATCTGCCGCGGTATGACCACCTCTTCGCAGCTGTTCCTGTTCCCACTCCATAGTTTCTTCATCTTCCTCTTCTCTGAGACCTCAATTGTTACATATTTTCATGTCGGGAATAAAGGAATGAACGCACGCGTCGGCTATCATCTCTACCATCGCGCCTCTTCGATTTGAAGCCTCCTTTTTTTTTTGCTTTTTTCCAAGTGCAATTCTCTCTTGTGCACCGGTGTATACAGCATACTCTTTGGAGAGTGACAAGTTATGTTCAAGACCATCGCGCATATAATCCCAACATATTACGTACCGTCTTCACCTTCACCCAACTCGTCCTCTTCCCGCATTAACCGGCTTTCAGGATGAGGACCTTGCGGCAGATCATCGCGCTTTGTGACTGATAACGAGATGTAGTCAGACTCCGGACCTACAGCACGCAAGCGGTCGCGCTTTTGTTTGGCCGCTATTATTGAAGATTCAGAGGGAATCACATTGTCACTGTCACCTACTATTGATGAGTAGACACGCAACACCATGTAGTGACCAGCTTACCATGTATATCTCGGGTGTCAATTGAAAGGGTCTCTACTTCCATTGATGCATCGATATTATAGGACTCATCAGCAGATTGGGGGGGTCTATTACTTGGCGTGCTAGCTTTAAGCTCGGACAAATAAGCCTGGTCATACACTGGTGCCCCGTTTACTCTAGTGGATATTGTTGCTTGATCAAGTGTCGCCGGGAGAGCTTGTCTGGGGAACACGATCAGAAACACGATTATTAGCCGACGACTTGGGCACGTTGTTTAGGAGCGTACGCAGGATGTTGACCGAGGGTTAACTTTCGACTGAGATTAGATTTTTTGATCTGAAATGCGTCCCCACTCTCTTCCTATGTTTCCCTTTAGTAAGCACTAGTCTTTGTGGGGAAGAAACACGCGGACCTCATCTTCCTCTCCAAAACTGAGTTTTGACTTGAGTTTCGTCCGCTTGGCTTTGCTCTTGAGCTTGGATGCTAATGTTATAGGTGATTCCCCGCCCCCTTGTTCAGCTGCTGGAGCATTTTGTCCCCTTTCTGGAGATACGTCCCTTGTTCTCTGTCCTGGCCTTCCTTTTGTCCGTTTGAAGATAATGGGCGAGTCTGCCATGGTACAGGTGTGATGTGACGGGTGCGTGACCGAGAATGACCTCCTGCGCCATATTCAAAATTCCCACGCATTAAACTTGCCTTTAACCATGTCCAATTCAGGCACTCGCCCGCGACCAAGACCGCGTCCTGTAGCGCGAACACCCGCCATCGGTCCTCCACCGACACCGACGCCCGGTGTGCATTCATTGAATGCAACAACATCATCAGGTCAAGGCCAGTATGAGCTTGAGGACGAGGATGCTTTCTTCATGCGCAATCGTGGAAGAACAGCCCAGCACTGGAAGAATCTCGAAAAGCGCGTCAAGGGTGAGCAGTACCTCAGTCATATATTGCTTGCTCGATACACATACAAGCTGTTAAATATGAATGTCACAAATCGTAGAAAACGCTGGACCCATAGTCGATGACAAGTCAGACGAAGATGATGATCATGGCAAATCGAATACTTCTACTCCAAAGCGTAGATACAAGAAAAGGTCCAAGAGAGAGACATCGATCCCGCTTTGGCAGCAAACTGATGTTACAACTCTGTACGTTCATGCAGCTCTGGATAATATTACTGTAGATAGAGGCATACTGCAGAGCAAAGACAGCTGACTATCCTATGATGGTCTGACCTGAAATATCTCTGAGAAATCCAATGTCCTTCTCTACTGAGTGTTATTAAGACTGACAGTTGCTCGATTTTCTTAGTCTCACGTCTGACGATGACGACGAGCTGGAGGTCATTGAGGAAGGCGAAGGGAGTGGCCAATCACCTCTCAAACGAAAGCGAGAGCGAAGTCGATCAAGATCCATCACACCACCACCAGCGCTCACGATGCATCAAATTCAGACCGCTAAAAATTTGGTGCGGTACGTGTCAGTTCCCTTTTGTCGTTTAGCCCCTGGACTGACTTTCTTCGCGTTCTAGACAAACATTGAATTCACCCACTCGTCCTGCTTCTCCGACGTATTTGGGGGACGATTCCACAGATACGATAGTATTGGACCCTGAACTTGCTAAAATTGCGCAATCCATACGCAGTCAAGTACATTTAAAGACAAACGAACCTGAACAGGTCGGTGGCCCAGAGATCGTAACAATCACAGTTAAGTGGCGACCTCACCCTGAAAACGTCGAGGATGAAATGCACGTCTGGGGCTTCAAGTTAAAAAGGGTGTGTTGTTTACGAAAGTTATCTAGACACCGAATTTAGCGGTATCCTTTCTGCAGCACGATACCCTTCAGGTTCTGTTTGAAGAACTGGCGGATATGGTGAATACCCTGGCAAGTAGCTTGGTTATTAGTCACAATGGAAAGAGAGTATTCTCGTCCGCAACCCCACATAGTTTAAGGATATGGGCAACAGGGGAACTAGGTGCGTTGACTCACTTTACCCACGTGCCTCCGTTTCCCTATTTGTTGTGCTCATATATGCCTAATAGAGGCATGTGACAAGAAGACTCACGAGTACATCCGCACAAATCGCTACAAGCGACCCCCTTCTCCGTCACTCGACGAGTTTGGTGGACCTAAACCTCATTCACCTGCTCCTGACGACGAACATGGAGCGGGTACAGACACAGAGTCCACCGGCGGTGACAAGCTCAAACTTGTCTTACGTTCGGCGACTACTAAACAGATCAACCTTACCGTTAGAACCACAGCTACCTGCGGTGCTATTGTCGAAGCATTCCTCAAGGCGGCCGGTTTATCTGTCACACAACAGAATGCTCGGAAGAAAGGCGTAAAAAGTAAAAAAGGTGTATCTGCTCCAAGATTAATGATCGATGGTGAGAAAATGGACCCCAGTACCGAAATCGGAGATGCTGATTTGGAGGACGGGGATCTGGTTGAGGTCGTGGATTTGTAAGACGGGCAACTAAGATTGCGCGTTTTGATACCCTTGCTATCGTAGTTTATGGTGCTGACTGCTGCAATTTAAACACTTTGGATAATGTACAATGGTACAGATACTCTAGTTCACATCATATGCATATGTATATCCTTCAATGTGCTCGCGAAATCGCGTTGTTGTCCGTAGCTTTAGGTTTACTTCTAAGGAATCTATACATTCTACTGTGCTCGATGCCATCCATCGTTGGCATTTTTTACTAAAATCCTTGCGTTGTTGACGAAAGCTCGAATCAGCTCGTCAAAAGCGTTACGTTCATGCTCGGGTGAGTTCGGATCCCCGCGCTTAGATGCTGTAGATAAAAGTAAGGCCGGGCGAGCAATTTCGAGCTCTAACTCGTGTAGAACCTCCGGCTGATACAAAATAATGAACGGGAAAAGAAGTTGAGAAATAGGGAATAAGAAAGACGAGGAGACCTACAGGAGCATTATGTGATATGCTAGATTTAACCTGAGTTAAATCGATGTTGAATTCTTCATGTGAGTAGCATATTCTGTCTTTTCTTCTCGTGAAAGTTGGAGTACCAACTGGATGGGGTGCTGAAAAAAAGAGTGTGAATGAGCGCTGTGGATTAGATTCGATAAGGACATACTAGGAATCTCAAGGTTCACGCTTATGCGCCAATCTGCCAATCTCTTTGGACTGTAAATGTTAAGGTCCCCTAACCTCACTTTTCGTACGCATTCAAGAACATTGCCAGTGTTTTCATCGCGAGTGACTCTGATCTTATCTCTATCTTGATGATCGGATGGGAAAAATGAATCTATCACTTTTAAATGGGTGTATTCCAAAGGGCTTGATGGATGTGAGGGCTGGTTTGATATTCGCATTAATTCGTTGAGGAGAGTGTTGAAGTGCTTGTGTTGGTTCTAAGACACGACAATAAGCAAACAATAGGTTATAGGTCCAACAAAGCATCGACGTACGGCGGACATGTTTGACTCAAAACGAAGGTCGATGTCATTTGGCGTTAAGACTGTTTTTATAGTCAGTTTCCATCATAAATTCAGACGAGGACATGCACACTCGTTTCAACCAACACTGGAAGCGCCAGTCTTTGACCAGAAATCCTATCTCTCAATACGCCGATTTTCGCCTCCACTTCAACTCTTGCTTCGCTCCCGCCACCTGGTCTGGTCATAATCATATGGTGCACGAAATCTGCAATCTCCCGTATGAATTCATCAAGAGGTTCGACGCCAAGAATCGAAAGAGACAATGGGGGAAGAGTAGTGGAGGACATTGTTGACATGTAAACCTTGCCATCTGTTTTGGCGTCTGGAGAAGAGTGGCGAGCGCGTTTTGACGGTGGAGGAGAGACTGACATGACACACAAATTAGCTTTTACGCCGTTAACGTTAGTGGGCACCCGGCGCTAGACGTCTGAGACACTGAGCTCAAAAGAAAATGAATTATAATGAACATATGAATCTTTGCGTTGGAAATATTATATTCAGTTCGGCTGCTTCACACCTGTATTACTAGTAATCTACACATTCACTGGCACCGGAACATTCAAGCTGGGCTCTTAGCTATTGGTGAGAAGGAATGACTGTCTTCCTCCTAATATTTTGACCGCCTACTACTATACGGGAGACTGCCGCTTGGCTATCATTCCACCAGGCCACCGCCTTGCACCATACAAAGGCGGCGGCCTCTTGATATGTTCTTATCACACTGCTCCTCGGACACCCTGGTCTAGTACCTGAAAGTGCTGCATCTGTCTTGGGTCATTGTTAGAGTATCCTGATTCGTGTCTCATTGCGTTGAATCTGCAGGGAGCTGAAATAATCGTTACAAGTAGTATTCAGAAGATAACGGAAAATCTATCGCGGCCGTTCATTATTTTAATGGTGATCGCGTCCTAAAGCGCTGGTGATGACAAGCGGAAGGAACATTCCAGCAACAAGTAACAACGTGCGTGACATCTTGCTGATGACATCAGGAGAGGACTCGGGTGAATGTTCAGAGACGGGCTGTAGGACCGTGGCCACATATAAGAATGTTCCGCCCTAACAAGTTGTAACAACAAGCATCAGCAACACAAGTGAAAGGATAAATTTCCGCCTTACACTGAAGAGGAGCGCAGAGCCTATCTGTATGTCGTCTTGCCCCGAGCTTATCAGATAGTACGTTGTATACGATAAGATTGCACCGATTGGTGTAGAAAGACTGAAAAATGTCAGATGCTTTCTGCACTCATCAAGGGGCAGCGACAAGGCAAGTAGTGATGTGGTCAGAGCAAGCGCGGTCGGTGCTAAATACTAGATTCAGTCAGCCACGTTCTTGTCGTTCAAATTCGGGATGGACACGGACCTTTGTGGATAATAATGGCCAGAAAAACCACCAGTGATAGGTTAGGTGACTCAGAATGTAGTGCCGATACTCCCAGCGCGTAACCATCGACTAAGCCATGTACCACGAGCCCTATTGACAATGGATACGCTCGCCGTATACTTTCGATATGGAGAGGACTGCGCGAGGGTCTAGAAGTGGATTGCGCCAAACCCTCTTCTTGTTCTAGTTCTTCTAGATCTATATCAAAGTGTACTTCAGTGTGTTGTCGAGAAGGCGAGCCCTGATGGGATAGAGGACGAGCGTGTGGAGCAGCATATTGCTCTATGAACAGCATGAAAGTGAAACCCAATATCATGGATAGAGCGATGATGGAAGTCGGTACTTCATCAAGGTTATTAGCGACCGCAACTTCAATCCCTCTGAACAGGATCAGCTGTCGGTTGTGGTTCACAAAGGGACAGGAGAAATCACGCACTCTGGTATAATCACACCTAGTGCAGCTCCGACGAGAAGACCTGTCCCAAAAGTCGACAGTTTCGCCATATGATTCTCTAGAATCTCCATTATTCCAGGGGTCAGCAAAGTGATCATCAGATAATGTACGCACTTGATAACGTGAATGACATCGGAAGAATGCCTACTCCAAACGAGGCTACCCCCATAGCACAGGACATAACCAACAGATCTCGAAAAGCATTTGAAGACATCGTAAGCTTTGACTTCTAGTGGGAAATAGTTGAGGGTATCTTCTTTACCAGCGGGTAACTGGTGATACAGGTCTGAAATGCACTGATGTGTAGGACAGGAACGCGCCCAAGTTGAGAGGTACTACCGGTTGCTCTTGCACCAGTTGCAGAATACCAATTTGATCTACCAGGTGAAATCTTTACGTTATAAGCTTTAGAGAATCCTTAACATGCGGAAGTCGATGAGCAACACACAACGAGGCGATATGAAGCATGTCTGGAACAAAAGCTAGGCTATGGACGCCACTGGGCCACAGCGCCACTAAAGCTGTCCATACATTCATGATCAAATTTCGATACAAGATCGCAACATAATTGTGGCGATACAGAAATCGAACTGGTACTAGTATCGTTGGATATACACATTTGCATTACATATAGAATCAGGCATACAAGCAATGTCCTGGACTGCGACATCCTTCCTTCAAATTCAAACCACAGCGATGGGGGTCGGATTGGAAGTAATCACGTTCTGAGCAACATTTGCCTTCGCTAATTCAGCGAGCCTCTTCTTCTCTTCTTCCAGCATCTGCTGTTGGATCTTCACCCTTAGAGGAACGACTTCGCGCCTTTCGGTCTTGATTTGGAAATCAAGTTTATCCACACCGAGGGCTTTAAGCGTTTTCTTCTCCACCAAGCTATAATCATCGGGATTCTCCCTGTTAAAATTGAACGGCTCCTTCAAAGCTACTGGAGGGTTCGTGATGACTCTTGGAATGCGCAGATGGTTCTTCGAAGCTGAGTGTAACATAAGAGGATGCAAGAGCACCACGTCTCCGACTTCACCAGTGACTTCGACAAACTTATTACACTTTTTGACTTCGTCTGGGTGAGACCAGAAGTGGGGATCGTCCTTCGGATCCGCATAAGCTGAGGTAGACGGGGTAAAGCAGAGACGAGGCGTAGGTAGAACACCCTCTGGGTGGGCAGCAAGATACTGGGCAATCATGTCAATACCGTCTGGGCAGATATACGTGCCACCGCCACGCGGTTTGATATCGGAGTAAATAGGAATGACGAGCAAACCCTGCTCTGGCGAGTCAAGAAAATGAACCTAATATGGTGATCAACTCAGTGACATTAGTATAGGTGATATGCACACTTACAAAGAAGTCACCGTCGACATGCCAGTTATCAAGGTCCTTGGGATGAAGAGATTCCTTCTGGCGTTCAAGCTCCTCAGATCCCAAATTGACAATGAACGAATCACCCCACCATCCACTCTTCTCAGAGATACGTTCCTCGCCACCGAGCAAATCTAACATGGCCCCCCAAGCCTACAGAAATATGAGGTATATTTCAACCAAAGAACGATAAGTTACCTTGGGAGCAAACGATGCCACATCTTCTCGGTTGTGCCATGGCATATGAATGCGGTCTTTGTCTGTAGGCCATGTTGACTTGTCATTCGGATCGCATCCTAGCCGAACCCACATATTCTTCGTCCATTCGTCCGACTTCTCCCTCGAGAATGCATCCTTAATTACGACGAATCCATTTTCCATAAAAAAGTCGATTTGCTCCGCTATTCAGAGAAACATGTCAGCGTACGCACTTGACCCTGAGCACATAGTGCGTACGAGTGAGAGTCTTGTATCCTTCAACCATGGTGATTGCCTGTACGATATGCTGAGCAGTAAAGGTGTGTTATTGCGGGGAATGCGGGGTAAATTCAGGTGCTCGATGAGATCTATAAATGGGACCGGAGGAAAGTCGGGCTTTGCTTACTAGACGTGATTCGGTCCGACTACCAAATTAAAGGTCACGCACAGCGACTTCAAAGCTAATTGCACGGTAGAAGGCCCATGATCAAACCTTTTCACTGAGTTTGGGGATGAGCGGAATTCCGTGCCAACCATGGTATCAATTGAAGACCACGGGGACCAAAGACTCGGATTTGGCGCTTGGAAAAGTAGTGCTTACTATAATCAAGTCCATTGATAAGGTCAAAGACCGCGGAGGTCTTGCTGAAGGTGTTGGATAATTAGCAACCGCTCGCAGTACGCCTGGACTCAATGTTTGTGGGAAAAGCTGTCATACCATTGTATGCTTCACGAATACATTCCAAATGGCTATCATAATATATGAGAATCGACTACCCGTTGGTCCAAGTACAAATTGAATGTTGAAGTCGAGCCTTGCAAACGACAACACTTCGTGATATAACTTGAAGCCTTGCCAGAGGTCGATTTTTGGTAGCGATTTCTACTTTCTTCTATGTAACACGAAACTTTCGATACTGTGGTCATATATCAGAACCAAAAAAACAAACGGCAAGGTAGCAGCTGCTAGAGTGATTTTTGAGAGTACGAAGCTACTGTAGTGTCTAAATTGAAACTCCGCCAAGCTTTGGTCTGTCTGAGGTCTGAGATTCAACTGTTACTTATCTTATCTCTTACTTATTCAGTTGATTAAGTTTATTCAAGGGTCAAGTACAAGTTGCAAGTGTTCATAGTGATACATAAATAATAAATTGTTGATGTCCTATACTCCATTACACTACAGAGATGGGGGTAGGGGCCATAGTGATTACGTTCGGAGCAACACTCGCCTTCGCTGAATCAGCTAGCCTTTGCTTCTCCTCTTCCAGCATCTTTTGTTGAATCTGTACTCTCAGGGGTACGATACTGCGCCTTTCGGTCGTAATCTTGAAGTCCAATCTATCCACACCGAGGGCTTTGAGTGTTTTTTTCTCCACCAAGCTATAATCGTCAGGATTCTCCCTGTTGAAGTTAAACGGCTCCTTTAAAGATATACGAGGGTTCGTGATAACTCTCGGTATGCGCAGATAATTCTTCGACGCTGAATGAAGCATGAAGGGGTGTAAGAGGATCACATCTCCAACTTCACCAGTGGCCTCCACAAAATTATTACATTTCTTGACTTCTTCCGCGTGAGACCAGAAGTGGGGGTCGTCCTTCGGGTCCGCATAGGTCGACGTAGAGGGGGTAAAACAGAGGCGAGGCGTGGGAAGGACACCTTCTGGGTGTGCGGCAAGGTACTTCGCGATGATTGTAATGCCTTCTGGGCAAATACATGTGCCTCCACCTCGAGATTTGATATCGGAGAAGATGGGAGTGACAAGCAAGCCCTGCTCCGGCGAGTCAAGGAAATGCACCTAAGATTATCGGAATCGTCAGTCCAGTCCCACTAAAATGAGCAACATGCAACTATACAAAGGAGTCGCCATCGACATGCCAATTATCAAGGTCCTTGGGATCAACAGGCTCCTTCTGCCGCTCGATTTCATCGGAGCCCAGATTGACAATGAATGAATCACCCCACCATCCACTTCTCTCAGCAATGCGGTCTTCTCCGCCGAGCAACTCTAGCATGGCTCCCCATGCCTGCATTAGATTAACGGCTGTCAAGTATATTATATTCTAGTAAAAATGACATTAAATTACCTTAGGGGCAAAATATGATACATCCTCTCGGTTATGTGATGGCATGTTAATGCGGTCTTTATCCTTAGGCCACGTCGACTTGTCATTCGGGTCGTACCCTAGACGCGTCCACATATCCTTCGTCCATTCGGCCGACTTTTCCCTCGAGAATGCGTTCTTGATTACAACGTATCCATTCTCCATAAAGAAATCAATTTGCTCCGCTTTTCAGAGAAACAACATGTCAGCATATGCACTTGATGCTGAATATATGGTGCGTACGAGTAAGGTACTTGTATTCTTGGACCATATTGACCAGCGCTCGTAAAATATACTGTGCAGAGCGAATGTGAAATACTTGTTGAGTGCAGGGTAAAGACAGCTGCTAGATGAGGCCTATAAATGAGGCCGGAGGAAAGTCGGATCCTGCTCACCAGTATGTTCTCGGCCTAATGGTCTGGTCGATCACGTACAGTGGACTCGGTAGGTTGATAACTCATGACCAGACATTTCCCCTTCGTTTAGGGAGAAGCATAACTTGAATCTGCTCCAAGTGAGGGAAACCGTGGGATACCTTGAAAGGCACGAGGACAGATGCTCTGAATTTAGCGCTTGAGATAGTAGACAACTTTGGGATGGGGATAAGGTCCGATGACACTGGCAACCTCCACAACCGAGGAAATCCCTCATGGATTTGATTTATGTCCAAGAGGTCTAGCACCAGCACAAGATAGGTTTGACTAGGATAGCTATCGTTGATACGAATCCAATTGATATGATGTAGCCCCCTGGAAACGATTCCCTATTATTGAGCAGCAGTCTGTGAAATGGAGACAAATAGTTCTTTTCTAGGTTTGACTCCCTGAAAGATTTCCGTTTTCAAGATAAAATCAGGGATGCGGATAAACCTGGGAGTCGGGGTAGATAGAACGAGTCAAAATATTCCTGAGTAGACAACTGGCTGCCAACGCAAGTTTACAACCGGTTATGTTATGGTCAGAGTCACGGTTGGACTCATTGATAGGAGGAACGACTGTCTTCCTCCTAAATGGTATGCCTAGAGGAGACTAGGTTGGACTTGTACGTGTCCCGTAATGTTCGAATTTGAAGTTGCAGCAGCTACGCCGTTGAGCGCTGAGTATGATTGCCCCACAATCGGCAATTAGACTCGGAGAAAATTACATTTCGGGGATAACGGAAGGACCTCTCAGTCCTTGCGGTTGCAATTGAAACCGCAGTATAGACTCGAATCACATTCGTATAGCAATAGTCTTACAGAAGAAATACATGGCTAATGGTACATCTCAACAAACATCCAGCTTTCTGATAAGGAAGAGAGATAATGATGTACATAAAATCTGTGAACAGATTAGATCAAGCAACTTGAATGGGGGTAGGGGCTACGGAGATGCCACTGTTCGCGTTCTTGGCAGCAAGTTCTGCCAACCTCTTCTCTTCCTCTAACTTCAACTTATCCTTCATCGCTCTGCTCCTGGGCACGATCCTTCTCCTCTCAGTAGTGATATTGTAATCCAGTTTATCAACACCAAGAGCTTTGAGCGTCTTCCTCTCCACCAGACTGAAGTCGTTGGGATCCTCTCGACTGAAAATAAATGGCTCCTTCAAAGACACTGGCGGGTTGGTGATGATCCTAGGTATGCGAAGATGATTCTTTGAGGCAGAATGGAGCATCAAGGGATGCAAGAGAACGACATCGCCGACCTCTCCAGTGATTTCAAAGAACTTATTACATTTCTTTACCTCCTCGAGATGAGAGTAATAACCAGGATCGTCCTTGGGCTCGGTATATGTGGAAGTCGAAGGAGTGAAAGACATTCCAGTGGGAAGTACACCTTCGGGGTGAGCTGCGAGGTACTTCGCGACCATGTCAATACCCTCGGGGGCAATGAACGTGCCACCTCCACGATGTTTAATCTCAGAATAAACGGGGATTACAAGGAGGGCTTGTTCCGGAGAGTCGAGGTAATGCACCTAGTTAGAATATTAGTTCAATCCAATACCAGGGGAGAGTGACTTACGAAGAAGTCACCGTCGACGTGCCAGTTGTCTAGGTCCCGAGGGTCAAGAGCGTCCTGTCTCTCTAATGCGTCTGTGCCAAGGTTGACTATGAACGAGTCGCCCCAGGATCCACTAGGCTGGTCGATGCGCTCTTCCCCACCTAGCAACTCCTTCATGATCTCCCAAACCTGCTCTACTTGAGAACGAATGAAGAATGTATTCATGACGGATGAATCACCTTTGGCGCAAAGCTAGCAACGTTTTCCCGTCTGTGCCAAGGCATGTGAATTCTTTCCCGATCCCATGTTGCCTTGTCATTAGGATCCAAACCCAGTCTGACCCAAATATTCTGAGTCCACTCTTCAGCTTTCTCCTTCGTAAATCCGTTCTTCACGATAATGAAACCATGTTCCATGAAATGGTCGATCTGTTCCGCTAAAACAAATGGAGAGCGGTTAAGCAGTGAACCCATAACGATAGAATAACTCGGCCAACAGACGTGTAAGGTGTTTGTATTCCTTGGTAGACATCTTAGAGTCAATGAACTGGTTGTGATCGCGGTGTTTGTGGTTGCGGGGTAAAACGACGGATGCGGGGTATATGTAAAACGAGTGCGGCGGAATGTCGGTGCTGGGCAGTCATATGAACGATCGATCCGAAGATACCGAATAAGATTGTTTATTATAGCGTGTCCGAGGACGAGCACTGGAATAAAACAGTGATAAGCACTTATAGACTAACCTTTGGTGTAATCGACGTTGCGTAGCAGGGCCGCACCCCGACCTGTGTTTGAGCGAAGTATGAGATCATTGGTCAGTATAATGGCAGGTAATAATTTCAGCAACTATCAGCTCCCCAGAGCTAAAGCAAGTAAAGCCGTTTGCGTATGGTTCACAATCGCAAGTTATTTTTCAGCACATAGATGTCAGCTGATTTCTCCGAAAACAAGTCTCCTGATGATGATAGATGATACAACGTAATGCATTGATAGAGGACAAATATGAAGACGCGAAACTGGGAAAACATGTGATCTCTAACAGTAAGCAAGACGCGAAACCATTCAAGAAGGAATGCGGCTTACCAGACGTACAACACAACTAGTAGCACTATTGGAACAGAGTATTTAGCTGAAGGTTTTAATGAAACTCTCCTGGAATGGATCGCCAAACTCTACGAATGAAGATATGGATAAAAAAAGTATGAGAATTGTCGTCAAAAGCCAAGACTTTCTCTCTGACCTTTTCGCAACTGCTCTGCCAAGGGAATGTCAATAAAATCTTCCTTGTCCCTCCTCCCACCGTGCTCCCCTCGCGCCCATCCGCCGCCGCCGACACTGCTGTTACTTGCACCGATGCCACCGCCTCCAATGTTTGGATTTGAAGGGTCAGTTCCGGATCTTTTAGATCCCCCGAGTATACCCATTGCGTCCTCCCTCCTCCTTGTCTTAGCATCTCTATGCGAAGAGGCTGCACCAAAGCCAGATCCACCAGGTAAGCGCCGTTTTGATGAGCTGGACCCTGGAAGCATTGCAGATAGGTTGTTGTACATTTGGGAAGCAGTTGCACCTAGTTGTACTTGCTGCTGCTGCTCTCGTAAGAGTTGGGTCAATTGATACTCATCAGGTGGTGGGGAGCCCGACGATTCTGAAGATATTGGGGAACCTGGTTCTGGAGAATTCATTGGTGTATATTGGCTTTAGTGTAATCTGAGATGTCCAAAATGTCTTATAAAACAAAGGATGTCGTAGATAAGCTGAAACTTGCCTTGTGTTGATTGCGTTGACTCGGACTCGGAGGGACTGATAGACTTGGATTGCGCGCCACCGGGCACGTGCTTTCCGGAATTGTGCCGTAAAATTATCGCGACGCGTCGTCGAAACGACGGCGTGTGTCCCATTCTTGTTTTTCAGGCTTGAATATCCCAGTGGTCTCTTTTACTTTGTTTCACGCTGCAGATCATGTCTTCAGTACGAAAAACCATACGCTCCATGCGAATCTTGGCTCTTCCACTTGCTCGACCCAAAATACCGCCCGAGGCGGTGTCAAACCCGAATGCTATATACAATCCAAACCGAATGTTAATTTACTATCATTTTCATCTCATTCCTTCAAGTACAAGCGGAACCCAAGAGAATGGTCAGTCTAGAATAAAACAGCTGATGACACGAGCGTCAACCAAAGCTGCGGGTGTATGGGCTGGATTTGGAAAAGCACCCGAAGGAACCTGGAAGGTATTATTCACCTTCCCCTTCAACTGGCTTGCTGCTTTCTCACAAAGGATCGTGGATAACTGTTTTTGTGTCATAGTTAAAGACCTACGAGTACGGTGAACGCCTTGTCGACAGGATTGACTTTGAAGAGCTTGCTTTAAAGAGTGTTGACCCGTCCCTTGGGCCTTCTATACCACATCCTGACGTCACTGGGCAGAAATTAGAAGATTTACAAGAAGGTAGTAATATAGAAAAAAGTCAAGATGTAAGTAATATGATCCCTCGTAAACGAGTGATTTCATTTTTATATTGGTTATGGTGACTTATTGGTATCCTCTAGAATCACATTTCGCTCATATACCCTCCATCTGTCTATACATCATTAACTACAACGGCTGCTTCTCAACTTACGCATCCTTGCATTATCCATCTTCGTGCCCTTCTTACCACTCGAATACCTCGACATCGTAGAGGGTTTTGGGCATGGATGATTATTGCTCCTTTCACGGCGCCTTTCATGCTTATCCGTGAGTTATTCTATCCTTAATATCTCGTAGGATTTGTCTTTCGTTGCGATTATGGCTCGGCATATGGATGCACCCCCTCTTTCGCTCGTTGGGCTTGAACAATCATTAAAATAATGTGAACATATCTAATACATATTTGGCAGCTGTGATACCCAATCTTCCATTCTTCTTCTGTGTTTGGCGTTCATGGTCCCATTATAGAGGTAAGCACTCTTCCCTCATATAGTGGTCATTACGTTTTCACCGATATCGTTCACTGTTCCCATCACGATAAGCCTATCGAGCATCGCAATACCTCTCATCCCTTCTCGACCGTAATCTAATCGTACCAAAACCAAGCGAGGAGCTTGATAGTTTATACTTGGCACATTCTTCTACTTTGCGCACTTCCCCAAAAACGCCGTCATCCACCCCATTACCTTTCGACAGTGACCCCCCTCTTAATTCCGATGGATCAATATTATCATCGTCAACACCCCCTCCAGCTGATGAAACGAACGCTGCTGCCAATTCTTCTCAACGTCTTCTATTAACGCGTAAATCTATCCCGGCCATACTTGAACTATTTGGTCTTCCCTCGACTGCAGGGGCTGACATGTATCGCGCCTTCGAGCAAGTCAGGGGGCGTATTGGGGGAAATACTGGAAGGTGAATAGAGGTGTAGGAAATATAGATTATTCATGATCATTGGTACAGCAACACGTTTTATGAAAAAACGTTTTAAGTTCATCTCGGAGCTTGGTGCATTGCGTAAGCACGATACTTCCACATGTTGTATCTGTTGTAACTTATTACATCAATCTAACAGAGACATTCTCATCTCTCTAAGCACGTTTCTGCTTGTCGGGTAAGACCCGCCGCATTCCTGTCGTGAATCTTTTCTATGTGATATCGGCATCTGTACAATACTTCAAGAAATTGCATCTCTACGTTTATGCCTTTTGGGGACGAAATGAAAGGCGTGGGCAGAAAGCCCTACAGTTACCACAAGGCTACAGCATTACATAGTGGATCGATTGGAGTCCAGAAATACACATCCCGCGTTATACTCAACTTGATCCATGAGTTGGTTGAGCGGTTTAATCGAAGGTCACGCCCAATGGAGTCAAATTCCTCGAACTCTTGAGGCGCAAACTTTGTGCAGAGTTCCCTATCATTACGTATCTGAAGAATCCCGAGTCATCCACCCAGTAATCTCCATGCCTTTAGAAAGTGTGGGATTGTGACAAGCCCGAGAAGTCGGCTTTACTGGCATTTTCAAATCTGTAATCGAGAAGCATTTGGCGTTAACGTTAGTATAATGAATGTTAGTCAAATCTACCATATCATTCTTGTTATCGTCCATTTACCATTCGACTGGGTATACTTAGATTCAGGATTATTTATGTACCTGGCATTGGATGTGATGTCATGTTGGACTAGTTCGCCTCGTCCGCATCAGAAACGGCTGTCAACGATGTCCGATTTTAAATCCTTCTAAGCTTCAAGAACCAGCTCAGAATATGTTTTGCCGCCTCTCGTAAGCCGCTGAAAGAGCTTCGACCACAATCCGGCCCGCCAGTACAGAAGACTAAATCGAAAGAACGATGGTCCACTGGCAGATGCACCCACTATCCGGCATGGTGGTAACGTTTCTACCCAATCCTGCGGCAGCGATTTCAAAGCCGTCGATTCGTGATGGAGTCGAATAAATGCTTATGAGTTACCAGAAATTGACATCGTTAAGCGATACAAGGGTATTTCGATGTCCCAAGAAGAAATTTGATGACGGAGAGCCATACAAGAAGACCGAGGCACGCATCTTAAACGAGTCTCGTCTTGTTTTTGGGCTGGGAAATACGTGGATAGTCAAGCATATGAAAGTATTGGGGTGGTGTGCAGTAACCCCCCGTCTGGTTTGTAGGATTTTGATATTTCCTCGGAGTGTCGGAAATAGGGGCTTGGCAAAAGCGAAGGTACAGCAAGATGCTATCAAGTTGCGCGGCTAGTTCGCAAGAGTTTCTATGAGCACCCGCCAAGGCGAACAAACATGCTAACATGGCATGGTCACCACAGAGCTACTACTTTGGATCTAGTGAGTTGATATTGTCTTCCATGTCGTATACGGCATACTTGCCACAGTATCAGACCATGGTCCGATCTTGCCGCGATCGAAGATACCTTTTGCCTACATTGGGTAAACTGGAACGTTTTCTTTGCTTCTTGATCAGAAACGATTGCAGTGTGGACGCTACGAAAGCCAGCCTGGGCCAAAGAGATTGATGACAAGGCCTACCGAGGGGATCGCTTGAATATCGGGCGTAAGAGGTTTGTGTCGGCGATGTCCGTCTGACACTGAGGTATAGCATTGTCCACGAGAAGTAGGACATTAAATATATATCTTGGATGTGCTGAACTGCTCCTCGAGGGCGTCCCACGCGATTTTCTTTCTATTGACATGCCGCAGAGATTCAACACAGCTGTACGACTGTACAGTGCCATTGTTTGTGAGAATCCCAAGGATGTACTTTATGAAAGGCGGATGGAATTGGCATTGCGTCAATAAAACAAAGTGAAAAATGTAGCGAGCTTGAATCCTTGAGATGTGTTCCAGAATATCCACTGCGTATAAGAGCGTGGCAGATGTTTCGCAAGAAGTTCCTCGCGCCCTATACTTCCGTGTTTACCGAATTAAATCGGAAGGGTCGACTGGAACTAAGCTTGGCATGGAGGACTTTACTGTATAATCCAATTACACATGGAAATAATGAAGATCAGCATCCTTCTCCTGGGCTGATATTGCACATATCGCTTGTTATCCCAGTTTTATACGACAACGAGATCGACCACTGCTGCGTATTTTAAGATCAGCGAAGATATTAAATGGAGAAGAATATAACAGAAAGAAAACAAAACAAGTACTAACTACACCGAGCAACTGTCCACATTGCTGATTCAGACGCGTAATGGTAGAGGTCTAGAGCTCGAATATGACAGCAACAACGGTTCGGTGGGAAAAGGAACAGCCAGACAGGATAACTCGTATTTTGTAGGTGTTTTATTACAGAAGTTTTGCGTCTACATTGATATACCTTCTTCAAATACTCCAGGGTGTGCAGCGGCTGGTTCCAATAACAGAATGTCATAGAACAGCTCCATGAAGTTCATCATGCTCACTGTTCCTATGACATTCTGAATCAGTTATTGGACCAGTCGCTACACAACCTGGGAGTATTTGTAAATCGATTGAATTTTCAGACGCTGCCAACGGTGCGAGATATTGTCATGTTACAAAACAAAAGGCATAAGCTGACCCATCGCGGAGTGTAAATATTCATACTCATACTCCGCACCCAATGATGATATCACATTCTTAAGTTATGGCTTATAGCGCCTTGGTACCTTAGCCGCAGCATGACGAGTCCTCCTCGCCGGAATATACTCTTACTATCGTTACCAATTCATTGCCAACGCTGAATACCACCTATTTTGTGAATACCAGGTCTATCCTCATAGGCGTCGAAGACCGGGTCATTGGTTGTTGCATGCATATCGTGTGAAGGCCGTCGCCAGGAATATCAGGAAAAGCTGAACAAGGTTTAGAGAACGATTCAACTATCCTCCATCATGTCTTCTATCATCGGCCTCTTCAAACGGAACTATACCGTAAGTTTGGGATGATCTTCACCATACTTGGATGTGTATATGTTGCCTATCAAACTGACGAGCTGTCACTCATGCGCAGGCGTTCTTCAGCCCGCCAAAAGTACTCAAGTCAACTAGCGAACAAGGCTCACAGATTGCTCCGCTCAAGTTTGGGATCTTAGGCGCCGCAGCTATTGCTCCGGCAGCACTTATCAATCCTGCTCAAAGTCATTCTGACGTCGTTGTATATGCTATTGCTGCGCGAGACCCTAAACGTGCTGAGGCCTTTGCCGAAAAGTACGGAATTGAGAAGTGGTATGGAAATTATCAAGGTAAGACTGGCACTCTGCTGTATAATCCATTATGCTGATCATAAACGTGCGAATATAGCCTTGTTGGATGATCCAGAAATTGATGCTGTATACAATCCGGTAGGTTGCGTGTCTTCTCACACCCTGTATAATAGTCCCCACCATTCTACCTTCTCGTAAGAGTCACTAATTCTGTCTTTGAAAAAGCTGCCAAATGGGTTGCATTATGAATGGACTATGAAGGCCCTTGCAGCTGGAAAACATGTTCTCCTCGAGAAGCCAAGTGGTGATACAGCCGAGGAGACGAGGCGGATGTTTGACCTTGCTGAGAATAAAGGGCTCATCCTCCTTGAAGCCTTTCATTATCGGTATGTCCTACTGTCTTTCGTTTTTTTTTAAGTGAATCCATGGCATTCCAATCTCATTTCTTGCCTCCACTGCGATATTATGCTACCAGGTTCCACCCTGCCATTCAAAGAGTCAAAGACATAATTAACAGCGGTGAACTTGGGAAAATTAAACATATCAGCGCATCTTTGGCTATTCCCAAAGGCATTATTACTGGAAATGACATCAGATTGGACTACAATTTAGGAGGTGGGGCGATGATGGATTGTGGCTGTAAGCTTGAAATTTCACCTTCCTATCTATGTATGCTGATTTATGTCACACACATGTATGCTCACTATATGACCTTGCTAAACCTACTACTTTATTCAAATCGTCTCACGCATAGGCTACCCGCTGAGCTGCCTTCGTTATCTCACTTCTGCGAACCCAATTTCCGTCAATGACGCCAAGGCGACTGTCTACCGCAGAAACACGCTTATTGACACGGGCATGGCAGTGAATTTGACCTTCCCTTCAGCCTCACCCTCTTCGTCACCTCCCGAATCTCAGCCCGAGGAACCAGTAACAGCCACCCTCGTCGCAGACTTCGCTACTCCTTGGATTTTAGGGGTTCTTCCGCGAATGCCACGCATATTTGTACTTGCCGAATGTGAGCAAGGATCAGTGGAAATGTTCAATTTCGTTATGCCCGTGATATATCACTACATCCAAATTCGCCCACTACAAGGAAAAGCAAGGACAGAGAAAGTGTACTCGTTTCGTACAGCTACGCATAAAGGTACCAGCGAAGACCAGAATGAGAAGAAAGGCGAGGAATGGTGGTCGACATATCGCTATCAGCTCGAGGCTTTTGTGGACAAGGTACGGGGCCGTGAGCCACAGACATGGGTAAGTAGGGAAGACTCGATTGCAAATATGGAATGGATTGAAAAGATTTACGAAAAGGCAAGCTATATTTTTCGAGCATCCACAAGACTTGTCTTTTCTGGTGATGTCAGAATACTCATGTAACGCTTGATGAATTACAGACTAATCTCGGGGCTCGACCACAATCCAACTTCCAACTTGAATCATCCGAATGAAACTGATTCGCACAAGTCCTTTCTTAAACCCATTATTGTGAATTGTATCTTGATTAAGTGGATCGTCAAACTATACAAAAGCTGTGTCAATACATTTTTTGAAACGTTAAATCTTTCCGTACCAGCGCGGCACTGGAATCATGCTGGCATATGTGGTTGGACTCCAGTCCAGCGAAAGAAATTGCAGATAATGATGTATAAGCCAATGGCAGCCGTTCTTTTTAAAACATGCTCGGGTTTGTCTTATCGGCGCGACAGAAAAGTCCCTCGAGAAAAAAAAATTGGTAATTTCACATGAAGAACTTCGACACCCAGATAAAATAATGTGCATGCAGGGAATTTCAAGAAGAGCGGACCGCGTTACCACTATGTGCAATAGATAGTACCGATGTAGATACCCTGGTATGGTCCAAGGTGGTCCAGAATGTCCCCCTCAAAGACGTTAGGCACTGTCTTAATCGTGCACTGGCCATCTGTCGCATCGTCGTCACCTAGTGGGGTTCAATGCTGTCAGAAACGATATTTCCGATCAGGAAAAATTTGACAATGTATACTCACCAGGACATTCGACAGCATCACCTGGTGAGACGATGTGCACCTCGCCTTGAACGTGTGAGAATCCCAAGAAGCGACCTGGGACGATAGGGATTATATCCTTCTCGTTGTTAATCCGCATGAAGTTTGTGATCTGAAGTGGGTGCAAAGGTCGATCATTAGCGGCCATAAAAGGGAAATACGGTAATGTAAAAAAAAGGTATTTAAACCACTCACCTTGGAGTCAAATAAGCTAGCCCAAGCAGGATTGCCTACACGAGGCGTTCCATAAGTGACACCTTGAATCGCAATGTTCGAAGGCAAGTTGAGGGCCATGAACATGCATTCAAGCTCGGCTAGGGCACCACCCAATGAGTGGCCAACCTATTCCATACAACAAGAGTCTGAGTCGGAACTTTGAGAAACCACCACGAAACGAGATATACTGACCAATATGACGTTTTGTGCGTTGTTGGCTGCTATCAGCGTTTTCACTTCCGCAAGGATTGCCGGAGCAGTCTGTGCGTGCTCGTTGGCGAAGCCACTGTGGACTTCAACACTGCTGTCTACACCAGGGAAGAGTGTTGGGTCTAGATTCTCCATGGGGATGTTTGCATCGGTAAGGTCGGACAAACTGTCTCAGATAAAGTTAGACAGGATTATCAAAACATTGAGGTGTATTTGTACTAACAATTGTGTGGGGTCTGTTCCTTGATGAGCTACCACGACAGCATTCTGCGTAGGCCAATAACCAACATAATCTGGTGCGAATGAATTATGGTGAGAAGGGAATTCAATTTCATGGGCGGTGTAACATAATTCTTACAATACTGAATGGAATCGCCGTCTCCACCAGTAAGCGAAACCTGGAATCCAGGCACTGCTTGGCATGCCTCTACGCAGTAAAATGGAATATTAGTTACCATGTAGCAGACTAGTCTGTAATGAACGGACGAACAATAAAAAAAACAACGTACCTCCACATTGCCAGCCAGTTACGATGCTAGGACTACAATAGGCTGCTCTAGCGAACTCTGTGAACGGAGCGAGGTCATTCAACTGAGTGGATGTCATTTGTGTGAGGGATGAGACTTGTGCACGCCGAACTGGCGCGTTTGCGGAGGGAACTGCTGCAGGAGAGGCGAGTGCACCCAAGCTCCAGAGAGCGAGGGGAACAAGGAGGGTGCTTGCAATGGTGTGCATAGTGAACAGGAGCGCAGGTCCACTTTTTGACTGGGTAGTATTAGGAGTAGAGAGTAGAGATCTACGTCGAGAATACTAAACCAGCCCAGATAAGACCGCAGTGCGACATCATTCCTACATCCAAGACAACCTGAATTTATAGAACTGGGGCGAGATGGTAGTACAATATACACGGCAGGATGAAAGAGACAGCATGCGGTGGCACCGCCATTCCCATCAAGCGAAAGGACGTGACTGGGAATTAAGCCTTGCACCATATGATGCAAGGTACCGAAGTGCTAAGACAGAGGTAGTTTAGCCAAGGAAACTTGATCAAGTGACGAGCCTTAGCAAGGCTTGACCTGTATTTTGGCGTAAACAACTCACCGTCTCGGGCTGGCAAATGAACGGTCGGACTGGAGGATAGAATCACAAGCATTGTATAGTTCAAATACGTCGAAAAGAAGCCTGGGGAAACCCATAAAGAACATTGGACCACGCGACGCGGGGGACTCAGAGGCACCTGAGAACGGGTGATGCAGGCAGATGTCCTGGGGACAGTGGTCAAGTGACCCCGCAATTCCTAATCCGACCTGATCACTGATGATGATGATGAAGACTACAGATATTTTTGTATGGTCGGCTCTAAGCTTATTCGCTGCTTTTGATAGAGTGCCAGCAACGATGATGTGAATTGGAAGCGCACCCATTCGCTAACGTGGTACACTGAATAGCCAATGGCCATTGACAGTACTGAACATTCGAACGAATCCGAAGCTGACTCGGCAGACGCCGCGACCGACTACGAAGTGGCTGCAGCTTTGATTTGGAGAACCTTGAGAGTCTGTAGTTACAAACTTGTCGGAAATGATGTCAATGTTGATCTATCTGATCCCATCACAAGTATTTTATACTCAATTCAATGCATGCCTACAACGGTACGTCGCAAGTGCCACGCTTATCCAACACGGTCCTATCTGTCATATTGCGTCAACGCCGTCAAGCAACTTCCAGACAAGGTTTTCTTGAGATACTTCACTGAATCCTTCAAATTGCGACATGTGTTAGGATGTAACGAGGACCGTTACGAGGTGCCAAATGTACAGAATAGATACCTATGTACTATGCGCCTGGTGTCAAATGGGCTAGGAAAGCGAAGATCAGACTATCACACCATGAATGCCTAGAGGGTAGCATTAACAGGATCTAGGAGAGCTAACGATTCTCTAAAAGCTTTGTCGCCTGCACCTATGCGACTTAACTCCTGGTGAAAAGTCGCATTTCAAAAATCGAGAGAAATTTTGAAAGATCGACAAATTAGTACAAATAACGTGAGAAATGTAGAAAAATCGGGAAATTCTTAAAAGTTGATAGAAAACAAATCTCCAAAAAAAAACATCATGCAGACCTTGTTTGATTTCGGGCTCGTCATGCTCTGCACAGTTGCTCGTGCTGTAGTGCCATTTGACTTTTTCCATGCAATGAAGTGTTTAAAGCTGTGAATATCTGACTTTGTCAGATTGCTTGGCCCAGAAACAGAGGATGGGGGGACAACAGGATGTTAATGTTCAAAGAAATGTATTCCAATCCTTATGCCATCAGGTCAGGTGACTGTACCGCCATAGTTCATATTCATCTTTGCTATCTCTTTCTTTCCCTCAGTTGGTTCTTCTACAACTGAGGGTATGTTCATTATTCATTTTCCCTAATGTACTATATACAGATCTTATATATAGGTGTTCACACAGGACACTTGTATCCACCCAACAGTTTTGTTTGTAGGCCTGTTTGAAGAGGAGGATAATTGGCAACAATGCCATGACCTTGAGCAGAAGTGTGCACAATTTGATCAAACCCATCCAGAATATCAGTCCCCTTGTCCTGGTCGTCATGAAAACAAAACAAAATTCTGCCAAGGTCATGTAATGCCTCAGCAGGAGCCAACAGCACCAGCAGATGCTGGCAGGATGACAATGTCTATGCCAGACCTTGTATGAAACCTTTAATTCCCACCCATTCGCAATTACAAAATTTAAAGTGTCCGCTAAGATATACAGGGCTAGCTATATGCCTATATGCTGGGGTTTATGCATATATATGTGTACCTATCATTTCCATACCAGAGACCAGGACTTTGGCGTCTCCAAAGGAGATATTTCCTCAAGTCCAAACCTCCTGAATCTTTGAAATCCTCAGAATTATGCTCCTCATAACCTACCAGTTGGCATAATCCTGTACCCCACCCCCACATGATACCCCAGACTCCCATTCCAATACTCCTGCACCAGACTTCTAGTTCACCATATGCTTTCCTACGTATGTTCTTGTACTCCTCATGGACTCTGTAGTTTAGACCTTATGATAAATGTTTCTCCCTTGCTAGATAAATGTCTGCATGGAGTTACTTTTTACAAGCTCCTACTCCTCCAACAGTATATAAGTTGTAGCTCCTGTACTCCATTCCTGCAGTTTGAATATCAACTAGATTCCCTTGCTTTTTTATAAGTCCCTTTCTAAGTCTTTCCAGTTCTTATCTGAAAGATCTTTACTCTGCTCCCGTTTTATCCTCTACTCTTCTCCATCCATTCCTATGAGTTAGGGACCAAGGTCCGCAGAAGGGCCTAGTGCATGAGCTAAGCCAATTCCCCACCTCATACTCTGTTACTGTAAGGACCGTTTTACTATTTTCTTATCTTTGTTATGTCTTGGTTCTCGAACACTTTTCCCGTTACACCTCTGGCTCTAGGGCTAGAGGTATCCTTTGCCATCTTACTTCTCATAGCCCTCACAGGCTTTCTTAACCATCGCTACCACTTTATATCACAGATCAGAGACTGGGCATCGCTCCCAGCCAGCCAGCACACTGGGTAGGGACTGGTAGTAGGCATCTCGCCAACCAGCTCCAAGCCCCAGTAAAGCCTGGTGATACTAATAACGCCTTATCTAGAATCGTACCTCATCATGAGGATACGGTTCCTGACCACGCGTGACAATCTTCTATTATTAGTACAAGTCTCTCACCTGCTGATTAATCAAGCCAGAAGTCGTACGATAATTACTCCCCATTTTTCTTATTGGTTGATTAATTCCTCAGACCACTTTTCGTATATTCTCCTTTCGGTCTGAGGAACGGACAAGTTCTCTATATAAAGACGTACCTATTCATGTATAGCTCCTTAGCTTTCTATTACTGAATTTACCCGCTTTACTCCTCAACAAGAACCTTTGAAGCCTACCTCTCAAAGTCCTCTACTCGCTATATTTGCTAGCGTCTGTCGACCTCAAGCTCACTGGACCCTTACTCCCTGCAAGTGCAGAAGGAGATAGGTTTAGTTCTTGTTATAGTTTATCGTTGCCTCACAGTTACCCCCTACTCCATCTCCGTACTCCGTAAGGTCATGGTTCTAATAGTACCCAAGCCTGTAACTGAAAAATGAGTAGTGTATATGTTTATGTATGTGTAGTATACAGTTACCTGTATCAAAAATATGTATCAAGGGCCTTCATCTTTGTCATCACTGGTGTACAGTATAATGCATGAGCAAGACCACCCCTCCTGTTGGTAATGGCCCACTTCTGGCCAACAGATACCCTACCAACAACACACTGTAAACAGGTTATATCCTCTACCTCTAGCGGGCTGAGTTTGGTGTAATAGTGTACATCAAGGGGATCTACTGCTTCGATGCTACACATAGTAATTATTAAGAACAAAGCTTGAAGGAAGTGTCTAGCCACTTGCTGAGAGCAATCAGGGACTGGAACTAGAGTCCAATGTGAGTAACTATATTATTAGAGAGTATGACAGGTATACAGTACCTAGAGTCCAATGTGAGTAACTAGAGAATAGGAAGCATTGGACTCTGCAGTACTGTCCGAAGTTTTGTAAACAAAGGTAAACAAAGCAGCCATAAAGGCGAAATAATAGAGAACACAATCAATAGTGAATGATAGAAGAATAGATAGAGAAAGGAATGAAAATATATAGGTAGCACAAAGGTGCAGAATCACCAAAACTAACACTCCCCCCTGATGCTGCACCTCCCAAGCATCAGCTCCCCCCTGATCTAATAAGTCCCATCATCTTCCTGAACACTTCCACTTTAGGCTTGGCAAGAGCCTTGGTCAACAAGTCTGCAGGCATTTCAGCAGTGGGAACAAAGGTAGGAGCAATCTGCCCAGAGTCAACAACATCTCTCAACCAATGCCATCGCAGATCAAGGTGTTTCATCCGACCATGGTGCTCAGGGTTCTTGGATACAGAGATGGCAGATTGGTTGTCAATATAAAGGGTGGAAGGAGAGGTGATAGGATAGCCCATTTCCTTCAACAAATTTCGCATCCAGAAAATCTCTTTGCCAGCCTCAACAGCAGCAATGTATTCTGCTTCAGTGGTGGACAGAGCAACAATGTTCTGAAGCTTGGAGCTCCAGGAGACAGCACCAGATCCCATCTTGACAATATAGGCACCAGTAGAACGACCAGAGTCCTTGTCACCACCATGATCAGCATCAGAGAAAGTGGTGAAGAGTTCAGTGGAATTGGGATCAGGACCAAGGACAAGGGAATGATCAAGGGTGCCTTGCAAGTAGCGGAACAAGTGCGTGACAGCGCTCCAGTGAGTAAGACCAGGATTAGAGTTATATCTGGAAAGGACTCCAACAGTGTAGGCAATGTCAGGACGAGTGGTAGTGGCCAGATACATCAGAGCACCAACAGCAGCAAGGTAGGGAATGTCCTTCATCAAAGCAGCATCACTGGATGTTTTGGGAGACATGTCCTTGGTGAGGCGCAAACCAGGATCCATGGGAGTGGACACAGGCTTGCAGTCCTTCATGCCAAAGCGCTCCAGAATGTCCAGAGTGTACTGATGTTGGGAGAGGGAGATGGTGCGATTACTTAGGTCTCTAGTGATGGAAATGCCAAGTAGGTAAGAAGTAGGGCCAAGATCACGAAGCTTAAAGTGCAGGGAGAGGTCCTTGACAGCTTGGTCAAGTGCAGAAGTAGAAGTGGATGCCAGT